CACATTTGGATTGGGCAGATTTAGACTTGGGGGAAGGAAGGGCAGAAGGTTGGGGCAAAGTGTACTCAGACAGGCTAGAGGAAACAGGTGTGTTTGTGGTGCTCTAGCTCCAAGGGCTTATCTGTCTTCCTCTTTCACTGCCTGAACTTGAGATCTGCAAGTCTCTCAGCCACTGGAACCGGCACAATGGCCAGTGAAGGTCAAGAAGATGAAGAAGTTCTCTCAAGGACATGAGCAGGTGGACCTGAGTGAGAGGGCAAAATTAACTGAGAAATCTGAGGCTGGAGACACAGCTCAACAGTTCAGAGCACATACTACTCTTGCAAACTGAGTTTCATTCGCAGCACCCTCACTGGACTGATGCAGTCATTTGTGATTTCATCTTCAGGGGATCCAACACTCTCCTGACCTCTGTGGGCACCAGGCATGCCCATGATACACACACATACATGCAGGCTGACATCCATACACATAAAATAAAACTAAATAAATCATGACCCAAGCATGGTGGTCCTCATCTCTAATCCTAGCTCCTGAGAAACAGAGGCAAATGGATCTCTGAGTTTTGAGGTCATCCTGGTCTATATTGTGCATTCCAGAACATCCAGGGCTACATCATAAATATATACGTTCATTCCCTGAAATGTCAGATGTTAGCCCAAGGTTTGTGTTTTTGGTGGTGGTAGGCAGGGAGCCCTTTCCAGGGACCCTCTCCTGTTGTAAACACACACGTTGTGTTTATCTCTGCAGAAAGACTCCCTGAGACCAAGAGTTGCATCTGTGTTCGGATCCTGCAGAAGGTGTGTCTACCATTTCATGGACAGATACTGCTCAACAATGCCAGCTTCAGCAGCAGTAATGTCTGCAGAGGACAGAGGAATCGACACCACCCTGGAAAGAGACTGCAGAAATCAATAGTCGCTGAGTTAGTCTGGCTGACTTTCAAGCCAAAACATCCTGATGTGGAAAAGCCATTTCGGAGGTAATTTATCTGAGCTGATGGGTCTTTGTCATCAGTGTCTTGCTCTTCACTTTGGAGCTCCTCCACTCTCAAGTCCACTCATACCCACTTAAGTAAATTGGAGGGTTTTTCCTCCAATTGGAGTCTCACTTTCCCAGTCTTCACTGACCATTCTCTCCTCACTCTTTTTCTCTCTCCTCTCTCTCTTGTCTCTCTCTCTTCTCTGCTTCTCTATAACACAGGCTAGTCTTGAATGTACCATCTAGCTGAGGCTAGTCTTGAACTCCTCACTTTCCTATCTCAGACATCCAAGGGCTAGGATTACAGGTGTGTCCTCAGGCCTGGTTGGATTTGTTCTTTTATTTGTTTATTTATTTACTTAAATCTATTACTTACAAATTTTTAAAGATTGATTTGTTTATTATGTTTACAGTTTTCTGCCTGTATGATCCCTGCATGGCAGAAGAGATTGTGAGCCACCATGTGGGTACTGGGAATTGAACTCAGAATCTCACTGCTCTTAACCTCTGAGCCATCTCTCCAGACTGGGAATTGTTCTTTTAAAAATATTTTTTTTATTTTATTAATTTTACATACCACCTTAAAAATGTCCTTACATTTCTTGATGTATTTATTTCCTGATGGTGTGTATGTGTAGGCACACGTGTGTGTGTGCATGCCTGTGGAGGCCAGAGGATGACCTAAAGGAGGCTGTCCTCGGTCTCCACAGTTTTGGTAGAAAGCACGTTTACTTGCTGAGCCATCATCACACAGGACCTGAGTTTGCTCCGGTTTCTTTCTTTTTTAATTCTTACATTTCCCCCTTTGAGGAAGGAGGGCCCATGCCACACAGCACATGAGAAAGGCAGAAGAGGACTTGTGAGAATCTACTCTATACTTCCATCATGTGGGCCCTGAGGGTCAAACTCAGGGTGTTAGGCCAAGTGTGGTGGCAGAGACAGGTGGAGCTCTGAGTTCCAGGTCAGCCAGAGCTAAAAACAAAAAAGAAAAAAATCAAAAAAATGCAACAACAGCACAACAACAACAACAACAAAACCCATCTGGTCATCAGGCCTGATTGATAACAAGTGTCTTTATTTACTAAGACATCTGTCCCCTAGGTTTGTTTTCCGATCATAGTGGATCTGATAACATTTCAATTATTTGTAGACTACAAACAGAATGTGTGCTGGATGGTGGTAACACATGCTTTTAATCCCAGCACTTGGAAGGCAGAGGCAGGTGGATCTTTGTGAGTTCAAGGCCAACCTGATCCACAAAGTGAGTTCCAGGACAGGCTCCAAAAGCTACACAGAGAAACCCTGTCTCAAAAAACAATTGAACAAACAAACAAAAAATAAAGAGACTGTGTTGGCCTGGCCTTTTATGATGATGGTACACTTCCATACTCACAGGTCTAGATCCTAGAAGGCAGGAGGATCAGGAAAAATTTAATGCAAGTCACCACTTCATCCAAGCAGACCACACACACCATACAAACACACACACACACACACACACACACACACACACACACACACACACACCAAAACCCACAAAACAAACAAACAAAAACAGAGAAAGGGGGAGGGAGAGACAGAGAAATCTGTAATAGGAAACCCTTCCAAGTCAAAGCTTCCACAACCCACATCACATTGCAAACCAGGGTACCACTGGAGCCAAGAGAAATGACTCAAAGCAATCACATTCACAGTAGACTAATGAAATCATTTGCATAGCAATTTATTCATGTATAATAGGGATAGTGTTCTGAGGCCTAAAATGTCAATGTTCTCTCGCCAGTGAGGCTCTCCCCCTCTGCTGGAGGGCAGAGTCTATCAGCAAGTTGCTGGAACAGCATGGAGTCAGTCTTGAGGACTACTTCACCTGGCCATGGTATTACTCTGGTGATGAGACCCATATCAAACAAAGCACCTGTGGAACCCTACATTTAAAAAACAAAATTCTTTGTGCTGGCCATTGAACCCAGGATCTTGGTAATGCTGCAGCTACCACATCACATCCAATTTTTTCTTTTTCCTGTTTTGTTGGTTTATTGAGGCAGGGTTTCGTGTAGCCCAGGTTGGCCTTGAACTCCTGATCCTCCTGCTTGTCATTCCCAAGCGCTAGCATTATCAGCATGTGCCACCTTGGCAGGCTCCAGTCTTTTTGCTTGTTATTTTCTCTGCTTGGCTCCTGTTTTTCTGACTATAATGGAGATCTCATGGAATATTCTTTCTCTGCTTCCCATTCCTTTTTTTGTTTCCTCTCTCTCCATCTCTTTGTTCCTCCTTTACTTCTTTTGGGTGTTACCTAGTTGCTTTACATGCTGTCCCCACTCCTCGTGAGTCTCCTCTGCCCTGCCTTACCCTTCTGTCTCACTGCTGATGCTGACGTGACCCCTCTCCCCACCAGTCTCTGCCTTCCTGTAACTGTCAGCCTGTCTGCATCTCACTGCAGCTGCCTGTGCTTTGTCTTGCTGCCCATCTCCTGATCAACACGCTTCCTGTTTCTATACAGCAAACCGTCTCCCGCCTCTGCCCCTGCTTCTCAGTCCCCTCGCTGACCCCCCCTTCTCCATCTCCACCTCTCTCTCACCCTGTTAATCTCTCCATTTGCCACTAATCACCTCCATCTCTCCAGAGTCTGCTTTCAATAGTTTCATGTCTAGGCTAGCTGGGCCTTCCTCTCTTGGGGTCCCTTTCTGTCCCACTTTATTCCTGTTTTTCCTGCCTTCTTTGTTTGTGATCATTTCATCAGTGCTGTGATGTGGGTTCCTCTCAACCTCTGTAACAGCCTTTCTCGGTGTCTGCTGAAGCTTTGCTCTTCCCTACCCTCAAGCTCTCTTTGCCTGGCTTCTCAATGGGGTTTAATCTTTTTCTCTGCTACCCAGACCGTTGTCTGTGCACATCTGTCTTCCTCATCCTCTTTATCTTTCTCTCCCTTAACTTTTTAGCATCGTCTTTTTTTTTTTTTTCTTTTTAATGGTTTTAGTTTTTCAAGACAGGGTTTTTCTGTGTAGCCTTGGCTGTCTGGAGCTCACTCTGTAGACCAGGCTGGCTTCTAACTCAGAGATCCACCTGCTTCTGCCTCCCAAGTGCTGGGATCAAAGGTCCGTGCCACCAACACCTGCCTTAGGATCAATTTTTAAAAGCCCCTCCTGCCTCTTTTTGCTCTTGTATCTTTTTTGTGGGTTGTTAAGGGTTATCACTTTCTGCCCCATTGTTCAGCACAAAGTAATCTTAATCTGCTCTTTAGTTCCTGTAACCTGGACCTTCAGACTAGAAAGGGAGGAGACCTGCAATAGCAGACTTGCTACAGAGACAGGAAGGAGAGAACCTTCAAAAGACTACAGAAGTGGATCTGGCAGCTATCTGTCACCTCTGGAGGGGGTGGGGGCTGCTCTCCTCTGCTGTGCTTGAAATCCAGAGCCTTGAAAAGCTCAGTGGGTGGTCACACTGAGTACTTCAGTCTCTCCTGTGGCTCCTGGCTCTGTGCTGCCTTAGGAGACAGACCATGTTCATTTAAGAATTTACATTTCTCTAAAATGGCCAGAAGGTACATAAAGTATTAGAAAGGCTATGCAATAGGGTTGAGTACAATCCAAGTATTTGTAGACTGGCCTAGAGGATCGAAGGTATGGGCAACAATTGAAGTGGCCCGGCTTCTGTCTGTCACTTGCAGCTCCATGCCTATCCCTCCTGGCAACAGATAATGTAATGTTTCTTCTTCTTTTTCTTCTTCTTCTTCTTTTTTTTTTTTTTTTTTTTTTTTTTTTTTGATTTTCGAGACAGGGTTTCTCCTGGAACTAGCTCTTATAGACCAGGCTAGTCTCGAACTCACAGAGATCTGCCTGTCTCTGCTTCCCGAGTGCTGGGATTAAAGGTGTGCACTGCCGTCGCCGCCACCGCCCAGCCAGATAATGTTTCTTGTGCTCTCATCTCACTGCCAGAATTTGGTCATAAATGAGGTCTCTCTGCCTCTGGCATGTGCCCCCCCCCAGGTCTCTCTGATTTTAGAAAGACCTCCTGTCCCATTGTCTGTCCTTACTCAGGAGCAAAGGAATTCGGTGAGCAGACTCTAAGTTCCCATGAGGTCACTAGCATCCACATTCCTTCTTGAGACTTGGGAAGGGGAGAGAAGTGAGTTATTTGGAAAAGGTCCTGAGACACTGATGCTGATAATACAGTCTAGCCCTTGCTACACAGTAGACTATGCAGTGAAGGCTACTATCTCCTTCTGCTGGCCCCAGTATTCCCTGCCTGACAGAAGAGGAAACCTCCACTTCTCTAGTCTTTCATACTGAGAGTGGAATTGTTCCTGGTGACTGACTCACCATCATGTGTCTTGGTCTGCTGAGTCTCCTTGTGCACAAAGATAGGGTAGGGCCGGGGCTGCAAGACATCCCTGATCAGAATGCGGATACCCAAAGAAATGCTCATGATACCCACGGTGACCAGCCCCGTTCCACAAAGGATGACCAAAGCAAGAGACAGCTGGTAGTGCTGCTGCAACAGCCACAGACTCATCCATCCCAGAGGCAGAAGACGGAAGAGGGCCAGAGTGGTCAGGGTGGCCCAACTGGTTATTCTGAAGGCCAAGGATGAGGCCTTATGGGAAAGCAGCAGCAGCTTCCGTAGGTGCAAACAGATGGAGTTCAGCTCCAGAAGTAGAGATACCATAGCGAAGCCCACAAAGTGGCCAGACAGAACAGCAGTGCTGAGGCAGCTCACTACCTAGGGGCAAAGTTCAAAGTCACACCTTTGCATGACCTGTGCCACCAAGCCCTGACATCCTAATTCTAATCCTATACTGGGGACTCTTAAGCATTTTGTAGGACTCCCTCCAAACCTGACCCTTATCTAGGGAGCGTGAGCAGCCTTAGCCCAGAGGCTTTCTCACTCTGAAGCTAAACTATTTGCATAGCACACCCCAGCTTTCATTCCTGGCTTTTCCTGCCTCATTCCCACGCCCTGTATCATGACTCCTCCCTCTCAGAAAAACTGTATCAAAGTTTTCCTGACCTGTTTGTGGGGGATCCAAACTCCTTGGGGAGCACCCAGACTTCAAACTGTGGCTAGTAGTCAAAACCTCCCTCTAGTTCAGCCCAAGACTGGGAAGATGGGTTTTCAGGGGATTTTGTGGGAAGGCTGAAGAGGGGTTGGGTCCTCAAGTTGGGAGTGCTTCCTTTCTGTCTGGCCTCTCCCATCAGTGTCTCACCACCAAATGGTGACAGAGAAGATCCCAAGCCTGGGCCAAGGTCTGATTCCACAGCATGTCAACTCCATCCGCCAGGAAATAACCTGTGGGCATGGGGGAGGGGGTTCAGGCTCCTCCTCAGAGCTGGTGCACAGCATAGATAGAGGTGTCTCAAATCCCACTTTTCCCAGGTCCTCAGTCCCTCACAGCAAACCTCCAGCAACACCTGCTCCATTCCAAAGCCGGGGAGGGACCTAGACTTCCCGCTCCAACACTGTCTTCCGTCGCCCAGTCTGTTCTGTACACTCACCCACTGACATTGCTACTAGGACCATTGCCCACGATGGGTGGCCATGAATCGGGTTGGTGACCATCTGAGGATACAGCCACAGCCTGGGGAAGATGGGGAGCTAAGGTCAAATTCTCCAAGACCTAGATCCATTCCTCCCCTGAGTACTCCCACCCATCCGCAACCCAACCCAGTTCCAGATTTTGAAGACTTCGCATCTATTCTAAAAGGTACCCACCCAGTGTTCCAACCTCAGTCTTCCACGCCCTCATCTCCACCCGCGCCCCTCCCCTCAGTGCTTCATCAATCCCCAAGTTCCGCACCCGATCAGCGCCCCTGCTCCAGACAGTAGGCTGTGTATCAGCGAAACGAAAATGTTCCGCCACATCCAGCGGTCCCGAGCAGATTCCGGGGTGGGCAGCAGCTGCAGTCCCCAGTGTAGCCCCCGAAATACCATGAAGGAGGCACCAGTCACGAGGAGCCCCCAGGATGCCATGGTGTGGCAGGTCAGCGAGGCTTTAGCTTGTGCTTTTGATCCTTGTGTCTGGGACCTGGACAGGCTTTTCCAATGGGCTGTGCCCCGGGCTTCCTAGCCCGCCTAGCTTTTCCAGCTTGTTGTAACTTTCCCCTGCTTGTCCACGCCCCTATCCCTCGTCTGGGCAGTGATTGGTGCGGCTGTGGGTCCACCACCCGTGGAGCCACAGAAGCAATGGTGTCCCGCCCTGCCTGGGGATAGTGGTTTGGGGGCTCCCGGGCATCAAGTCCAGCAATCAAGTTCAGAGACCTTTCTGCACAACACTTGAAGTCTTTTTCCAATGCCAAACCCCTCAGAATCCCAGAAAGCAATCTAGTCTAGCCTTACCTGACAGGTCTGGGACTCCGCCCACTAACTTTCACCTGTTCTGGTTTCCTCAACTCTCACCTACAGATCATCCTTACCCTTAGCCCCAAAGTAGAAGGCCAGCGCAGCCTAACCCCTGAGGGACCAAACCTTGCCCCACAACACCTTTACCTGTGAACATGGCCGGTTACGCAGAGGTGCCCTCTGCCCATCTGAAATTCCCTTACATACTATTCCCCCAAACAGAAGTTTCCCCACAATCATTTTGTAGGAGTCCACTGGGGGGATCCTTTCCCAAGTTTTTTTCCCCCCCACTTCTGGAGATCTTTATTAGGCAAGGGAGGCAAATGGAAATCACTACTACCACATACTTGAAACGCATTCTCCTTCTCTCCCCAGGTCTCAAGAAAAAGGTCAACTTCAAAGAGATAAACACCCACAGTTAATAACACCGTAACACTGTTCAGATACTAGACCATTTGGCCTTAAGAGGAACGTCCTCTCCAACCCCAAATTCCCTGAAGAGTGACTGGTTTTGACCATTTCTTAAGTCTTTCTTACTTTGAGCTATACACCACCTTCGCTGGCTGACAGCCAGAAACTCGGAGGAATGCTTCCTATATGCAGAGTGAGTGGATGGATTCAGACAAGAATGACGTTCACAGGGCTGGCTACCTTCAGTGTGGCAGAGAGCACCTGTCCAGCTTGTACAAGTCCCTGGGTGTGATTCCCAGCAAAACACACACACACACACACACACGTCAAGAAGCAATAGGTGACTCAAGCAAACATTTTTCAACAGGACATTAGGTACAGCCCATTCTCCCACACCCAATTCTCCAAATTTAAAAAAAAAAAAAAAAAAAAAAAAAAAAAAAACATCAAACTGGAGAGAGGGCTCTAGTGGCTAAGAGCACATGCAGCTCTTCTAGAGACCTGAGTTCAATTCCCAGCATCCATATCAGATGGCTCATAACAGCATGTAACTCAGCTCACGAGACTGTGAAGACCTCTTCTGACTCTGCAAGCACCCACACTCATGTATCCATACCCACAGACACATAATATAAATCTTTTAAAAATTACAGAGGGGGTAAAGAGATGGCTCAGAAGTTAGCATGCTGCTCTTGCAGAGGCCCTATATTTAATTCCCATCACCCACGTGGTGGCTCACAACTGTGTAACTCCAGTTCTAAGCCCTCTTTTGGCCTCTGGAGGCAGGCACTAGGCATGGGAATGATTTACATACATGCATGTAGGCAAAACACTCATACACACAAAATTAAAAACTACATTTATCTTTTGCAATTTATTTAACATATAAAAGCAATATACAATTAGTGTAGAAAATATTCACAACTGCTCTATCCCCCATCCAAAAGTAACCATTGTTAACATTTTCAGCCCACTTTCAATCTTTTTTTTTTTTTTAGATCTACGGATTACAAGTATGCACTCATAATTTTAAAAACAAAGTGTTTAAAAAACAAAATTAAGGTCACAAATTCATACATTTTATAATCTTTTTAATATCCAAAGAGCATTTTTCTCCATGACTTTGGAAGGCAATGCAGTACTTCACCATCGGAATGAATATAATTCACTTAAGCAATCCCCTACTGCAAACTTTCATTACAGAAAAGGAATGGCTGTCCAAACAAGCAGTTGCTTTCTATTGTTCTCTATTGCAATGCCAAGATGAACATTTTATAATCGAATCCTGATTTTTAAGATACATTACTAGAACACAAAATTACAAGGCCAAAAGTCATCTCTTGCAATGTTTGATCCTGCTACCCACAATGTATGGGAGTGTTCTTTTGGCTTTCATTAATTTGTTACAACGTGATCACGGGAAAATGTTTTCAGTGATGTCTGCCTTCTTTCAATTACTAATTTCTAATTTATTTCTTTCTTTTTTCTTTTTCTTTTCTTCCTTTCTTTTTTTTTTTTTTTTTTTTTTTTTGAGACAAGAGTCTCATGTAGTTCAGGATGACTCACTGTGTAGCAGAGGATGACCTCTTGTAGGATCCTCTTGCCACCACCTCCAGGGATTGTAGGCCTGTGCCACCACACCCAGTTTTAGGCAATGCAGAAGCTTCAACCAGGACTTTGTGGACATAAAGCAAGCATTCTACCAACTGAGCTACAGCCCCAGCCAAAAACATGTTTTTCCATAGTGTTACACATTTGAACCTCTCTTTGAATTTGCTCGTGTTTCCTTTCACAGGTGGCTCATGCTCCTTGAGGGTGAGTATATAGGAACTGCAGGGCACTTCATTATAGCTCTTCATCTCCAAGGGAGGTAGGTCTGGAGAGGAGATGGCTGGAAGCTGTCTTTTCATTGAGGCTGGCGGCTCTTTCCTGGTGCTCTCCAGGCTTCTATGAGCCCCTCTGACCAATGTCTGGGACAAGCCCTTGTGGCTCCAGGCCAGGTCCTTCACTGGTCTTCCACCTGCCTCTGTGTTTCCAGGCTGCCCTTCCTCACCTCTGAGGCTCCATGTTGGATGAAGACAGCAGAGCCATGAACCCAGTGCTGGAGGGACACACTGTGGCCAGTAAAGCGAGGAGGGGAAGAAAGCAATGTCTCGGGACAGAGCAATCTTTGTTGCAGTGTATGAGTAGATTTGGTTTTCCCCATCCCCCTCTCTGCTGCAGTCCCTTACACATCCTATCCCTCATCTCAGGCTGTAGTAGGACTAGGTTATGTGATCTATTCTCCCCTATGACTTTCAGTTTCTCATAAATAGAGAATAGGCTAGAATTCCCCCTCTGTTTCCTGCCAAGCAGAACAAACAGCTTCCTATAGCCCCTGAACCCATCTTCTGTTAGGGAGACTGGGCCAAAGTTGAACCACAATCTGAGCCCAAGCCCAAGCTTGAGAATGAATCAGGAGCTAGAGGCAGCAGAGGGACTCATATCAGACAACCCATCTCCCCTAATGGCTGGAGGAGACAATTTCTTGCCTGCATAGCACTGAGCTGAGTCTCACTATCCTGGAAAGCAAAGGAAGAAAATAAATGGCATCGGTTGCTAGGACCCAATCAGGAGCTGGAATCTCACTTTGGGTAGAGGGGAAACCTTGGGTCACCCTTGTATAATGAGAAGTCAGCATAGGACTAGCCTCCCACTAGTTCTTAATCTTTCCCTCCACCCCAATTCCTGGCTGTATAGTCAGGGGGTGAGCGAGGGACAATTTGTATGAAGAGCTGTTTTGTTTTTACCCCCAGGAAAAGAAGAGCCCAGGCTCTGAGTCAGCACAGGTGGACTTGTGATGCCCTCCTGCCTACTCATCTATGGGATTCCCCATTTCACAGGTGGAGAAATAGACAGGTTTAAGGATCCCACAGAGGTTAAGTACCCCTAAATCCAAAATCTGGACCAATCTAAAAAAAAAAAAAAATACAGAGAAAGGTAAACATATGGATGGACTATTTAGATCAGAATTTTGGTGTCACCTTTCCTATGAGTACATTTACTTTAGGACCTCATGTGAAAGCTGGGGTGGGGGGAGAAGATAAGAAAGGCAGGCCTATGAGGAAGTCTTGATAAACAGGTAGACGGACTTTCCTTCCATTCTTTCCCATTGTACACAGAGATCAACCAACCTTGGGGAGTTGGAGCCAACTATTCTCCAACTTAGTCAGGACCTTTAACCTGGATCTTTTGCTGGGCCAGTGTGGGTAAGGGCTCCCCAGAGCACTTTCCCTTCCCTAAAGCCATCCATCACCCCTGCTGCCCAGCCCTTCCCAACCCCAGTTCTGTCACCTTCCAGATGATAGGCGAAGAAGCTGCTCCTCTTCCTCCTCGAAGCCAAGGGCAGAGGGCAACAGTTCTTCAACTGGCAGCTTTAGCGGGGTCAGGACATAAAGCTTGCCACTGAAGAACTACTGCGGCTCAGCCAGGGGAGGGTGTGGGAGGCACAGGCTCCTAAATGAGAGGGAGGAAAGACAGGAAAGCTCGGCATAGGGCTGGGCGATGGGCATGGCCACCCACTCTAGCTGACTTTCAATACCTTTGGTTCTTGAGTGAGATGCAAGAGACTTCTAAATACACTTGCCTTGACCTGCTTTACAGACCAAGAAGCAAGGGCAACCCTTGACAACCGGTTGAGGAATCTGGTATCTTCAACCTTCAAAGGGCAGGGTCTAGAACCCAGGTCTTAAGTGAAAATTTTTACTTCAGGTCCAGAGTTATGAGGTCTGTTCCTGAATTCAGCTGGAAGGAGGGTTTGTGGAGGATTAGAAGGGGGGAGAAGGGCTAGAGTGTGGGAGGTCAGCAGGGGCTCTGAGCAATATGAGGGAGAGGACAGCAGACCAGAGGCAGGAGGGGAGGGATGCACGGGCAGGGGTGGCTGGGCAGCTTCCTCAGGACTCTGAGATGCCAGGCATTCCGCTTACACATTCCGGGTACATCTGGTATGAATTCCAAGCTGTCTGCCGGCCCCTCCACGTCTGAACTTTGTTCCAAGTTCCAAGCCCCGCCCCCACAGTTCCAACGCATGAATCAGCAGGAAAAGCCGGGGCCTTGCAGCATGGCCCAGGGAGGGGGCTGGGGGCGTGGCAGGCTAGAGGGCTGTGAGTTGGAGAGGGAGGTTCTGCACAGTCAGTCCAAGGGCATGGCCATTGCCAGATTGAGGGGCCAAGGAGATTTTGCCTTGGGATTTCTAGATTCAGGGGGTGGAATGATTACGGTGGGGTGGGTGATTTTCAAATTCCAAAAGCCTCTTGGGAAGCATAAACTTTGTGGTATCTTCCTTCTCTTCTCCTAGGTGAAGTCTCTGTCCACTCCTCTCTGCCCAAGTTGACTCTGTTCAGCTACAGGGTTCATTGGCTGCTGAGAGTTTGTGCCAAGCAGGTGCCCTTGGCTGCCGGGCGGGGTGGGCCCAGGGCACTGACCCTCTGACCAGCTGCTCCATCAACCCTCTGGCACCATGACAACTCCTAGCCTACTGACAGCCAGAATGACAGGCCAAATGAGTTAGAGGCCGAAACTAGGGCCAGAAGGAGGTGGGGACGTTAGCCTAGCCAGAGGCCCGTGGGGAGGGGCCAAGAGTTGGCCAGGAGGTGGGGAGAGAGGGAGCCCAGCGATGACTAACCCAGGCGCCCCACCCAGCCAGCCGGCTTCCCAGGCGGTCATGGCCAAGCCGGGGCTAGGGGCCTCACCACCGGACATACTGGGGGGAGGTGCAAAGGTGACCTTCTCTCTGTCCAAGACGGCCAGTTAGGCTGTGGGGGGGTGCGGGTAGAGTTTCCAGGCCCTCCTCCTGTCCGCCCCCCCAACCTCCGCCCAACCGCGGTGAAACCCTAACCTTTGGGTTGCATAAGGCCTCCGCACCGCCGCCCCCTACTCCTTTCCCCTCCCCCCTTACATAACATCCCCGAGAGGAAATGAGAGGAGGGGCCGGCCCGCCCAGCGACCCCTTCCCTGCCAGGGACTTGAACTAGCCCTGACCCAGTCAGCGCCAGTAGAGGCAGTGCACCTTCACACCACTCGCTCTCCCACATTCTCCCCAGGCTAAATGGTCAGTTCCTGGATTCTCAAACCAGAGGGCATCAGGGTTAGACGCCCCCAGCCCTCGGCCTCTCCTCTTCTTGCCCAATTACCTCTCCGGACTTTCTGCCACGATTCCTGTCCAGGACCCTCTCTTTAAACGTCCAGACACACTACTCGGGCCAGTCCAGGACCCTCTCACAGGAGCGTCTCCGTGCCCGCCACCCCCTCTCCCCTCCCCCAGAAGGGCAGGGTGTGGTCGCCAGGACCCTACTTTTCCCCATCATCCTGTTACCGCGATTCCCCCAGCAATGACCGGGTCCCCAGATCACACCCACCTGATGCTGGGTGTGGGGGGTTGCTGAGGACTGGGGAGCAAAATCACTGCGTCCTCTCCGCACGGCCGAACGCTCTGTCTCTTCTCAGCGTCCAGCACACACCGGCTCCAGTCTCCGATCAGCTGGCGGCGTCGTGACGCACGAGCTGCGAATGCACCGCCCAGGGCCAATCACTGCCCACTGCTGGGCAACGTGGCCACACCCACTTGGGGGCTCCAGCACCTCTGCTTACTCCCGCCCCTCCCGACGTCTGGGCTCTGATTGGCAAGGAGGCCACCCCCTTGCTCGGAGGAACTGCTCTAAGCCACGCCCAACAACTCACCAGCTGGCCAATAGCCGAAAAGGTGTGGCTATCCCTCGGCCTAGGCAATTTACTTAGACCGGCTCTACGTCAAGCCACAGTTTAAAAGAACAGAAGGAAGTGAAGGCGTGTGTTTTTGCAGTGCATCCTGGTTAATGAAGTTCTTACAGTGACACTCGGCTTCCCAGAATGCAGCGCGCTATGTGAGTTGGCATTTTTAAACTGATCTCTGAATCGGTCGCCGGCAAGTCCTTAAAGGGCTACAGCCCCTCCTTCTTGGAACTTTTAGACAACCTCAGAACTGATTCACCAGCCTCCACAGAAGGCCTAAGTTAAGAGAAGGTGGGGCTTGAGAAGCAACAGATTGGGCTGAACTGAAAATGGAAGTCAGCCACCGATGCAGCAGAACTCCCGAGGGCTTCGGGGTATAGGGACGACTGTCACCCGCATAACCCCAGTCTTCACTGGAGAGCTAGTCTACCCTTAGTGGGTCTAGTTAGAGGTCTCTTCTAGTTAATGTCTCGTCCTAGTCGCCTAAGAGCCCACGGCTTCTCAAGGGGCAGCTTCCTAACAAAAGATTTGTAGCATAGCCCTCACTTTAGAAATCAAGTTTAGAAATATCAGCCAGAAGCCCCATCCTAAGATTAACACCCATTCAGTACCGCCCTCAAGAGTGCTTCACTGACTCAGACCTACTTAGGGAAGTGATTTCAAAGGTGGAGACCAATGAAGAGGCTGCTCCTTCCCCAGGGGCCAATCAGAGTATGAAGAGTGGGGGATGGGCAAAAACTGAAATGAACCCAATGACTTGGCAAAAGCTGCTGAATTACTTATTTAAAGAGACAAGCCGGCGACCACCTCATCACTCCCTCCTCACCCCCAAAGAGGAACTTGTGGCCTAGAGTTTATGACTTTTGCACTATCTCCAAATTGAGGGCGCGGAAAATTGAAAGGGGAGCCCGAGGTAGCTCCTGTGTTTAGTATGGACTGCTCTAGTGACTGCTAACGTTTCTGCGTTCAGGACATTGTGCCTTTAAGGAGACTTCCTGCCTTCCGCCCTAGTAACAGCTGATTGTTCGAGCCCAGGGGACAAGTCAGCATTAACCACATCCTCCTCCTCGCCTGTCCTTCTCCATCTCCTTTTCTCCAATCCCGCCCCCCCCACGCCCATGGGTGATAAGGGAAGGAAATGGAACCCCAAGCATGACGGTGGGGGCGCTATGCTCTTTCATGATCTTTTCTCCTTCACTCCAGGATTGCCACCTCACAAAAAAATCTCCTTAGTTTCTCAGAGTTCTGAGGAGATTGGAACCAGGATATGTTTGTTGGGGAGGCTACTCTTAGGGAGCCTGTTATGATGGCTAGCTGTGTGTGGGTGCTCAGTAGGCTCCTGGGGATGGTATAGGAAAACAGCCCAAGTCTAGAGAAAAAGAAAGGCTGTGGAAAGCGAGCCTGGTGGGTCAGCTATCCCTTTCTCGCTGTTTCAGTTGCCTGACCCTTCCTAGGTCAGGTAGCTAAGGGGGTCCTTCTGCCTTTGTCCACTTTCTCCACTTCTGACTTAGGTGCCACTCATTTTTACTTTTAGCCCACCCCCCTCCCGCAGCAAATGTGCCAACATTTTGTAAGCTCAGGTACTGCAGGTGGAACACACTGGTCCTAGAAACCAGAGTTGTCTTCTGGGAATTCCTACAGAAAGATCCAGGTAAATATGTTGCCTCAGCTCTGTGCTGGGAGTCAGGGTCACTCCAGGACAAACTTAGTGTGAAGTCCCAGGACTGACTTGGCAGGATTGGGGGAAACTGAGTAGGGCTCTGGCCAAACTTGGAAGAAAGAGGAGTTTCAACAAGCTGCCCTATTCTCCATTATCCCTAGCATAGGAGTCCCATTCCCTCCTCATTCAAGGCCCTTGTGGTGACCCTTCTGCATTTCATTTCACTCTGTAACCTCCTCTCACCCACCTCAAGGCCAAGAGCACAGGTTCCAGGCTGAAATTTCTCAATCTTAGTACTATTGATATGTTGAGCCAGATAATTTCTTATGTACATGGCTGTCCTGTGCACAGTAGGAAGGTCAGCGCTACCCTGGCCTCTACACTAGATGCCAGCAGCACAGGATCCCAATAATAACTACCAGAAGTGTCCCCAGCTTTCTTTCCTCTGGGCATTCCAAATTAACCCTAGTTGAGAAGCACTGAACTAGGCAAACATTCAGATTCCTGTGTTAACTGGCAGTGAGCTTAGGGACGATATTTTCTTCATCTACAAAACAGTGTAAATAATGAAGTATGGTTTCTTGTAGGGACTTAAGAAGAAGTTTGAAACCACTTAGCACAGTACAAATCCACCAGACCCACAGTTGGCACACTCACCGTCTTTCTTGCTGACCTCACTTGGCATGGGCTGGTGGCCCACAGGCAGCTGCAGTTTCCCTCAGTGACTAGCCAAAATGTGCACTTCTGGAAACACGGCATTAGAGTAGTCAAAGAGGACTGGCTAATTCTCAGCCCAGATTTCCCCAAACCCAAGGGTGCCAAGGGTGCTTCAGTGGGGATTCAGGAGTTAACAGGTGAGGAACAGGGAGATTGGGAGAAGAGTTACAGAACCTTATTTTACTTTCTTTCTTCTTCTTTTTCTTTTTTCTTTTTTTCAGACAGGGTTCTCTCTGTAGCTTTTGTAGACCAGGCTGGCCTCGAACTCATAGAGATCTTCCTGCCTCTGCCTCCTGAGTGCTGGTAGTGGTGGGACTCTACTCATGTGAAACACACCATCAGTCACAGAGTTATACACACCAGACCCTTATTTTTCAAGGTGTGCCTTGAATATCTGTGCATCAGAGCTACCCAGGGTGCTCAACAACAGTTCAGCTCCAGAGTCTCATTCCATACCAAGCCTTAAAGTTAGCTCAGGGGTACAACACTTGCTCAGCTAGCATGCAAAAACCTTGGGTTCAACTCCCAAAGAAGGCGTTTTCTAAAGTTCAGATAAAGGAAGGTGCAGTGTCTTAGAAATCTCAGTGGGCCAGGTTCCAGCCTTGAAAGGACATAGAACAAGAGGTAGATTTAAATGCATTTAAGATCACTATTGTAGTATATACCCATCACCACTAGAGGGCAGGGCACACAGACTTTGGAGAAAAGTTTTCATTCAGTTTGGATAAACTGAGACCAGAGCAAAGACCTTTCAGATCCAGTTCTGTTGGGACCAAAGCACAACCTTCGGATCATCAAAATGGGCCCTCACAGAGGGTAGTAATAAGGCACACTTGTTACCGAAGTACTTGAGAGGTGATGGCCCATGCCTTTAAACTCAGCACTCAGGAGAGATTGGCAGATCTGTGTTTGAGGCCAGCCTGTTCTACAGCTACACAGAGAAACCCTGTCTCAAACCCTACCTGCCACCCCCCAAGAAAAGATTAGGGCCTGGAGAGATGGCTCAGGGTTTAGGAGTACTGGCTGCTTTTCCGGAGGACCCGGGTTCAGTTCCCAGCACCCTTATAGCAGCTCACAAAGGTCTGTAATTCTAGCTCCAGGAGATATAATAGCCTCACAAAAACATAATACATACAGGAAAAGCAGCAACTCACACAGAATAAAAATAAATTATGAAAGACAGAGAAAGAGGAGGCTTGAGGATCATGAATCCAAGACTCATTTTGGATGCATATTAAGATTCTGATATTTTAAAAAAAGTTTCTTAGCCAGGCATTGATGGTACACTCCTTTAATCCCAGCACTCAGGAGGCAGAGGCAGACAGATCTCTGTGAGTTTGAAGCCAGCCTGGTTTATAAAGCAAGTTCTAGGACAGGCTCCAAAACTACAGAGAAACCCTGTGGCAAAAAAAAAAAAAAAACAACAACAAAAAGTTTTTTTCCTGGATTTCACACCTACTTCCAAGGTGTGTGTATGTGTGTGTGTGTGGGGGGTAAGCAAAAAACAAACAAACAAACAAAAATCTCTCTGTCTTTGGTTTCAGGCTCTCATAGCTAACCTGAAGGTAGAGAATTTTCATGGGCCATCTTTCTCAACTGAAAAACAATGTCCAAGTACAGGAATACTAGTTTAATTAATTAAAAGAGAATATAAGGTTGCTTTTGTGCATATTTTCTCTTTCTTTCTGAGACAAGATCTCATTATATCACCCTGGCTAGCCTGGAACCTTCTACATAGACTAGGCTAGCATGGAACTCAAAAGGCTTTCCTGCCTCTGACCCTATAGTGTTGCATTAAAGGCAAGCAGCACTATGTCTGTCTCTCTCTCCCTGTTTTTAAATGTTTTCTTCTGTGTGTATGAATATTTTGGTTGCCTATGTGTGTGTGTGCACCATATTAGTGCCTGGGACCCATATAGTCCAGATGCCCTGAAAGTGGAGTTACAGATGACTGTGAGCCACTCAAGGTCGTCTGTAAGAGTAACAAGTAACCACTAAGGCATCTCTCTAGCCCCTAACATGAACTTTTTAATTGAGGTGAAACAAAACTTATTCCCATTAACTTCACTTTATTTTTTATGTTTTTGGTTTTTCAAGACAGGGTTTCTCTGCGACTCTAGAGGTTGTCTGGAACTCTTGTAGACCAGGCTGGTCTTGAACTCACAGAGATCTGCCTGCCTCTGTCTCTCCCAAGTGCTAGGATCAAAGGCATCACCACCTGGCTGCTTCACTTTATTTTTAGACTGTTTTAAGATTTATTTTTATTTTATGTGTATGGGTGTTTTGCCTGCATGTCTACCTGTGCACCATGTGTGCACAGTGTCCATGGAGGTCAGAAGAAGGCATCAGATGCTCTTGGAACTGAAGTTATAGACAGTTGTTAGCCAACATGTGGTGCTGGGAATTGAACTGTGGTCCTCTGAAGAACCCTTAGGGCTCTTAACCACCAAGCTACATAAAATTATGCATGGAAGTGACTGAAGCAGATCCAAACATCAAATCAATGAGAGTTCCAGGGCTTGTCCTGTTGCAATGATTTATTGGTTGTCTCATGTGTCTAGTGTGGCTCTCCCTGAGTGTTTATGGAGTTGCATCAGAGCCCTCAAGAGTAGGGAGAGGTCCAGGCAGGTCAGATACACCCAGAGACATTTGATGTTTGAAAATGCACCCATTAAATCATACTAGTCTTCTCCAGCCATTTGCAGAAAAAATACCAACTAATCTCTTGACAGTTCAACTTAAAGCCCTGTTAGAATGAGTCATTATCATTTGGTGGGTGGCCACGCAGGCTGACAAAGTATTCCTCTTTCTTAGTCTCATCTCATCATTGAGTGTATCCCATCTGCATTAGTTACATTTCTGTTGCTGAGATAAGGCACCACGACCAAAGGCAGCTTAGGAAAGAGAGTTTAGCCAGGCATGGTGGCCCACACCTTTGATTCCAGCACTCATGGGGCAGAGACAGACAGATCCCTGTGAGTTTGAGGCCTGCCTGATCTACATGGTGAGTTCCAGGAAACCAATAAAAGGAGGAGTGTTTATTTCTGGTTCCAGAGAGATGAGTCTATCCTGCCAGGGTGGCAAAATCGTAAAGAAGCACAGGCAGAACAAACGTGGTGAGGCAAAACTTTAATGGTGTGTTTCTGCCAATAAGGCCACACCTCTCTATCACTCCTCCAGCCAGCCTTGAACTTGCTTCTGCCTCCTGAGTACTGGGCTTACAGGTTTGAGCCACCGAGACAGGTTTAACAATAGCTTTGTAAAGCCCTAGTGGGAAGCTGGATATGATGTCAGATGCTTGAGGTCTTAACCTCAAAAGACTGCCCAAACTTGAGTTGGTGAAATGGTCTGTCAGACAACAGAGTTTGCTGCACAATCCTGATGACCTGAGTTTGATCCCTTAATCCCATGGTGTAAGGAAAGAACCACTTTCCAAAGCTGTCCTCTGACTGCTATGTGTGTACCACCCACATACATGCACTCTTACACACAGTAAAAGCAAAAAGCAAGCAAATAAACAAACCACAGAGAGATAGAGAGAGGATGAAATGAGATATATAAAGCTCTTGGCAGGTGGTAAATTCCTAGCAAACACTCCATAAATGGGGAAGTTAACTACATATAGGGTCATGTGACCAAGTACATCTGGGGCTCCAGCAGCCCTTGAAGAAGAGACAGATGGAATCTGTCGTATCTAAACCACTGATGTCTTTTCTCTGGGCACCCTTTCTCCTTTTCTTCCTTCTTCTCTCCCCCTTTCTTTTTCCAGTTAGGTCTTGTTGTGTAGCCCTAGGTGGTCTGGAGTCCTTATTTAACTACACTGGCTTTGAACTTGCAATGATACTGTCTGGCCTGTCTTATTTATTTTGAGACAAGTCTCATTGTGTAGCCTTTGCTGGCCTCTCACTCTGTAAACCAAGCTGGCCTGGACCTCTGAGATCTGCCTGCCTCTGCCTCTCAAATACTGGGATTAAAGGTGTGTGCCACTACACCTGGATTTAAAATTTTTTTGGTTTTGTTTGATGAGAAGTTTCTCTGTGTAGCTTTGGAGCCTGTCCTGGAACTTGGCTTTGCAGACCAGGCTGACCTCAAACTTATAGAGATCTGCCACTTCTGCTTCTGCCTTTCAAGTGCTTGGATTAAAGGAGTGCACCACCATTGCCCAGCCTGGATTTTAGTTTTTAAAACCGATTTATTTATATATGTGTACATGCATGGGTGTATGGGTGCTTGTGGAAGCCAGAAGAGGGTGTCAGATACCCTGGAGTTTAATTATTCTTAATTGCTGAGCCATCTCTCTTCCTTAAGTGCTTTTATTTTCATTTTAAAATTTAATTTAATTTAATTTGGTTTTTTGAGACAGAGTTTCTTTGTGTAGCCTTGTTTGTTCTATAAATAGCTCTGTAGACTAGGCTGGCCTCAAACTCACAGAGATCAGCTTGCCTCTGCCTCCCAAGTCCTGGAATTAAAAGCTTGCACCACCACCATCCGGCTTCTTAAGTGCTTTTAAAGGCCCAATACCAAACTCTTAGACTCAAAACTTGCCAGAGCACACAAAGTGGTTTTATTGCTGGCCTGGCCTGTACTTGAGCCAGAAACAAGACCTTCTGGGGATGACGTGCAGTTTGAGCACAAGCTCTCTGGTTTCTGTTCCTCATCCTGTGCTGCACCCTGCCTAGAGTCATAGTAGCATCTGCAAGGTTGTGACCATGCTACCTGGTTCTGTGGCATCTACATTTTTAACAGGAAGTCTCAGAAGAACATTTTGTTTTAAAGGACCCCATGTTTCTGTGCCGGGGCCACTTCCTTACTTCCCACAAGGTTGTGAGGGCCAAGTGGCAAGTTACTAATCAAATGCTTTGGAAAATTAAACTCCTTGTTTTGCAGAGTAGCATAGGAACGCTGAGACGGTGTATGTTGAAAGATCTGGTTCTGCTGCTGCTGCCAGAGCTGACACTTGGCTAGAGGGCTAATATTTCCAAGATGAACCTCACTTGATCCGCGTCTCAGAGCCTACAGGAGAGATCAGAAAGGGGAGAGAAGTCCGGTGCCCTATTAAGGATGGTCTTCCTCTGTACCTGAGGGCGGCTGAATTGCCCAGGTGGCCCCAGAACCAATCGAGGCTGGGACAAAGCCCCAAAAGAGAAGCAGATGAAAGGGTATCTTGGCTGGTCCGCAGGCGCGGGGTAGGAGCCGGAGGCGGGGTCTCGCTGGGCCCTTTAGAAACACGTGCGGTTGTTTCCGTGTCTGGGAGATCACATGACCCGCATCAGCTGACCCGTCACGGCGGCGCTCAGCTCTGGCGCTCCGCGCTCCCCGCCCCGCTGCGCCCCGGAACGCAGGACCCTGCAGAGGGCTAAGACGATCCTCAGGCCTTCTCTCCTTTGTAGCTGGTTCGCCCAGTCACCTGCGCCCCAGCTCTCGCTCCTCGTCCATCCCAACCTTCCCGGCCTGGCACCCCGGAAGCCACTGCGAGGTGGGCCGTGGCCAGACTCAGCCTCGAGCTGCCCCCAAGGGGCCAGGACCAGATGGCCCAGGGGAGCAGAGGACAGAAAGTGGTTCTTACAGCAGGATCCGAGGGCTGGTCTCCATCCTCGGGACCTGACATGGAGGAGCTCCTCCAGAGCGTGGAGAAAGACCTGAACATCGATGCCCGGCAGCTGGCCCCGGCGCCGGGGGGCACCCACGTGGTGGCCCTAGTGCCCGCGCGTTGGTTGGCTTGTCTCCGCGAGCGCCGCCTGGGACCCTGTCCCCGGGCCGAGGGCCTGGGTGAAGCGGAAGTCAGGACTCTACTGCAACGCTCGGTACAGAGGCTGCCCCCGGGGTGGACGCGAGTGGAGGTGCACGGGCTGAGGAAACGGAGACTGACCTACCCGTTGGGCGGAGTCCTGTCCTTTGACGAGGGGTCCTGTAGCCCTGAGACTCTCACTCGTTTCATGCAGGAGGTGGCTGCCCAGAATTACCGGAACCTGTGGCGCCATGCATACCATACTTATGGGCAGCCCTATAGCCATAGCTCTGCCCCCTCGGCTGTACCTGCTCTAGACTCCATAAGACAGGCTCTACAGCGGGTCTATGGATGCACCTTCCTGCCAGTGGGTGAATCCATCCAGTGTCCATCAAATGTCAGAGATGGGCCCAGCCCCTCTCGGGGCAGCCCTGCCTGCCCAAGCCTTTTAAGAGCTGAGGCCCTTCTGGAGTCACCCGAAATGCTGTATGTGGTACACCCTTACGTACAGTTTTCCCTGCATGATGTAGTTACCTTCAGCCCTGCCAAGCTGACCAACAGCCAAGCCAAGGTGCTTTTCATTCTCTTCCGTGTCCTCAGGGCCATGGATGCCTGTCACCGCCAAGGGCTGTCCTGTGGGGCCCTGTCTTTGCACCACATTGCTGTGGATGAGAAGCTTTGCAGTGAGCTTCGGCTGGACCTGAGTGCTTATGAGATGCCTTCTGAGGATGAGAACCAGGAGGTCTCGTTAGAGAAAAACAGGACAGGTGTTAAATCTGAAAAAGAGGAGGCAGAGAGATCCGCGTGCCCCACCTGCCAGAAGGAACTTAAGGGCCTTGTGCTGGACTGGGTCCATGGCCGAATCAGCAACTTCCACTACCTCATGCAGTTGAATCGGTTGGCAGGTCGACGACAGGGGGATCCCAACTATCACCCAGTGCTGCCCTGGGTGGTGGACTTTACCACGCCCTATGGGCGCTTCCGAGACCTTCGTAAATCCAAGTTCCGACTCAACAAGGGAGATAAGCAATTGGACTTCACCTATGAGATGACACGGCAGGCATTTGTAGCAGGTGGTGCAGGAGGCGGGGAGCCACCTCATGTCCCTCATCACATCTCTGATGTCCTCTCTGACATCACATACTATGTATACAAGGCTCGGCGCACACCCCGCTCAGTACTCTGTGGACATGTCCGAGCACAGTGGGAGCCCCATGAGTATCCTGCCACCATGGAGCGGATGCAGACCTGGACACCTGATGAGTGCATCCCTGAATTCTACACGGATCCTTCTATCTTTTGCTCCATCCACCCCGACATGCCTGACCTGGATGTGCCAGCCTGGTGCAGTTCTAACCAGGAGTTTGTGGCTGCCCATAGAGCGTTGCTGGAGAGCTGGGAGGTATCCCAAGACCTGCACCATTGGATTGACCTGACCTTCGGCTACAAACTCCAGGGCAAAGAGGCTGTGAAGGAGAAGAACGTGTGTCTGCACCTGGTGGATGCCCACACCCATCTGACTAGCTATGGTGTCGTACAGCTCTTTGATCAGCCACATCCCCAGCGCTTGGCTGGGTCTCCTGCCCTGGCCCCCGAGCCCCCACTCATCCCCCGGCTATTGGTCCAGCCCATTCAGGAGGCCACAGGCCAGGAGGACATTCCAGGACAACTTGTAAATGGGGTGGGCAGGCTTGTTTTAGAGGCCACTCAGTGTGAGACTGGCTGGACTAGAGACAGGCCCATGGCAGGGGAAGATGACTTAGAGCAGGCTACTGAAGCTCTGGATTCCATCTCCCTCCCTGGTAAAGTAGGTGAACAGTTGGGCCCTTCCTCCAGTCAAGCCTCACCTAGCCTGTTGTCTTTTTCAGCAACCTCAGGCTCTCGACCAGGCCGCAGAAGCAAAGCTGCTGGGTCGGACCCTGGGGAGGGCGAAGAGGGGAAGATAGCTCTACCTGAGGGCTTCAGTCCCATCCAGGCCTTGGAGGAGCTGGAGAAAATGGGTAACTTCCTGGCGAAAGGCCTAGGGAGCCAGCTGAAGGTACCCGAGCAGCCTCACGTCCAGCCACCTGTGCACCTACAGAACCTCTTCCATCGAGACATGCAGGTGTTGGGTGTCCTGTTGGCTGAGATGGTGTTTGCCACCAGGGTCCGGACACTGCAGCCCGATGCACCTTTGTGGGTACGCTTTGAGGCTGTCCGGGGTCTCTGCACGCGCCACTCCAAGGACATCCCCGTATCTTTGCAGCCGGTGCTGGACACACTTCTGCAGCTGAGTGGACCCAGAAGCCCCATGGTGGTGAAGAAGGGCAAGATGGGCCCGCTGTTTGAGTACAAGCCTGTTTCCCAGGGATTGCCCCCACCCAGCCCAGCCCAGCTGCTCAGCCCCTTCAGCTCCATGGTCCCCTTCCCTCCATACTTTCCAGCACTGCACAAGTTCATTCTGTTATATCAGGAGAGGCGTGTGGAGGATGAGGCCCAGGGAAGGGAACTGGTGTTTGCTCTATGGCAGCAACTGGGTGCAGTGCTAAATGATGTCACTCCTGAGGGCTTGGAGATCCTGTTGCCTTTTGTGCTGTCACTCATGTCTGAGGAACACACAGCTGTGTATACTGCCTGGTACCTATTTGAACCCGTTGCCAAGGCCCTGGGCCCCAAAAATGCCAATAAGTACCTCCTGAAGCCCCTCATCGGGGCCTACGAGAGTCCTTGCCGACTGCATGGCCGCTTCTACCTGTACACCGACTGCTTTGTGGCCCAGTTGGTGGTACGGTTGGGCTTGCAGGCCTTCCTCGTTCACCTGCTACCCCATGTCCTTCAGGTACTGGCTGGGGTGGAAGCTTCGCAGGAGGAGAGCAAAGGCCTGGTTGGAACCACCGAGGATGAGGAAAGCGAGCTCCCGGTGTCCGGGCCCACCTCATGTGCCTTTGGGGAGGAGATTCAGATGGACGGGGAGCCTGCTGCTTCCTCAGGACTGGGACTCCCAGACTACAGGTCAGGTGTCAGCTTCCATGACCAGGCCGACTTGCCAGACACAGAGGATTTCCAGTCTGGACTTTATGTGGCTGACTCTCCACAGCCCCAGGAGGCTGAGGCTGTGAGCCTGGGCCAGCTGAGTGACAAGAGCAGCACTAGCGAGGCCTCTCAGGGCGAGGAGCGAGGTGGGGATGATGGGGGCGCCCCTGTGGACAAGAACAGCCTGAAGTCAGGTGACAGCAGCCAGGACTTGAAGCAAAGTGAGGGCTCCGAGGAAGAGGAGGAGGAGGAAGGCTGTGTGATTCTGGAGGAGGAAGAGGAGACAGATGAAGTCACAGGAGCATCTGAGCTCTCTCTGTCTGACACAATGCTGTCCATGGAGACGGTCGTGGCTCCTGGTGATGGGAGAGACAGAGAAGAGGAAGAGGAGCCCTTGACAGAGCAAACAGAAGGCAAAGAGCAGAAGATCCTCCTTGGTGAGTCCTTGGGCCTGGGAGGTGTTGGTTTCCTGTGCCGTGCAGGGGTCCATCCAGGTCCAGTGTAGTACAAACTGAGCTCACGTCCCAGGTCAAATGGTCTGACACGGTGCTATGTGTGAATGGAAAGTGGGGCTTAGATTTAACTTACAGAAATCAAAGAAGGCATCTTTAAAAGGGACACATCGGGCAGGGTATGGAGCTTAGTGGTAGAGCAATTTCCTAGTATGTTTGAGGCCCTGGGTATCCTGGGTGTTTTATCTCCAGCACCAGAAAAATAATTAAGAAGTAAAAGCAAGCGATGGCTGAGGTGTAGATGGAATGGGAACTGGCAATAATAGTTGTGAAGTGGGGAGAGTATTCCAGCCAGAGGGAATAACATATGTGCAAGTCCCTAAGGCCCTTGTGGTTCCATCAGAGGCAGCGAAAGGCTAAAAAGGTTTGCTGAAAAGAGGCCAGAGGGGTGGTAGCCAGGGACAAGCCTATATTCAGGAACGTGGGACCATTGTTGAAAGGATGGCCTTCCTTCCTGTAGGTCCTGCTTGAGAAGCCAGTTTCCATAGGTCATCCTCCTTCATGGCTAAGTGGATGAGTCCAGTGTGATCAGGCACCTTAGCAGAGCTACAGCCAGAGTTGGCTGGGCAGGGTGTGGTGTAGCGGGTGGGGTGGGAAGGGTGTTGAGCGAGCTATCTAATGAGCTCAGGGCTTGCTTCTGCCCTGCAGATACAGCCTGTAAGATGGTCCGCTGGCTGTCCGCCAAGCTTGGCCCCACAGTGGCCTCTCGCCATGTAGCCCGGAACCTGCTGCGCCTGCTGACATCTTGTTATGTGGGTAAGGCCTGTGGTCAGTGCTGGAGACCAGATTTCCTTCCAAGCTGCTGCCCGTCCTTAGCTCTCTCTAGGGGATTCCTTCCGCTACTTCATATCACTTCCTGGGCAGGTCCCGGGTCTCAGTCTGCAAACTTCTTTTTTTTGTAGCTTGGGAGAGGGGAAGATCCCAGTCTAGAATGAATAGAAGTTGCCCCAGTCTTAGAAGGCTGGCTTCCTGCCTCAACCCTTACCCGGTCCTTCACTAGCTTCTCAAAGCCCTTCCTTGGCAGGGCCCACTCGGCAGCAGTTCACAGTCAGCAGTGATGAGAGTCCCCCGCTGAGTGCCGGCAACATCTACCAGAAGAGGCCAGTACTCGGGGACATAGTGTCAGGGCCTGTGCTCAGCTGTCTCCTCCACATCGCCCACCTATATGGAGAGCCTGTTCTCACCTACCAGTACCTGCCCTACATCAGCTACCTGGTCAGTTGCTGGTTCAGCAGACCTGGGGTGGGGAGGCTAAGGACCCAAGGACTGGTCCCTAATCTCTGGGGTTCCAGGAGGTCTGTGGGGTAGCCTGGCCCTCATCTATTCTATGGTTTCAGGTGGCCCCGGGGAACAACTCAAGCCCCAGCCGACTGAACAGCCGCAAGGAGGCAGGGCTGCTGGCAGCTGTGACACTGACTCAGAAGATCATTGTGTACCTCTCAGACACGACCCTAATGGACATTCTGCCCCGTATCAGCCATGAGGTCTTGCTGCCTGTGCTCAGCTTCCTCACCTCCCTTGTCACAGGGTAGGCCCCTGCTCCATGGGAGAGTCACCTGGCTGAGGGACCCCCAGGAGGGGCTGGAAAGCTCAGGGGAAAGGAGATGATACTGGCCTGGGTGTTAAGAGTCATGGGTCCAGCAGGGCGGTAGTGGTGCACACCTTTAGTTCCAGCACTCAGGAGGCAGAGGCAGGCGGATCTCTGTGAGTTCGAGGCCAGCCTGGTCTACAGAGCAAGTTCCAGAATAGCCAGAGCTAAACAATGAAACCCTGTCTTGAAAAACAGGCCATGGGTCCAGTGGTGGGTATGGTGGCACAGGCCTTTCATTCCAGCACCCAGAGATGGGGAAATTTCTGTGTGTTTGAGAGCAGCCTGGTCTGTATGGTAGCTTATATAGCTAGCTAAGGCTACATAAGTTTCTAAAAGAGACTCTGTCTTAGAGTCCTGGTTCTGGGTTGTGAGTGTGACTTGATAGAACTCTTTCCCAGCATGCAGGAAATGCTACATTTGAGCTCCAGCACCTCAAAAACAAAAACAAAACTGGGGGCTGGAAAGAATGGTTTAGGGTTTAAGAGCCCTGGCTACTCTTCCAGGGGACCCAGGTTAGATTCCCAGCATCCACATGGTGGCTCACAACCATCTGTGACTCTAGTTCAAAGTTCCCGTTCTCTTAACTCTAACCCCGAGTAAACCAGTTTTCCTGTGCCTCCATTTCTTTCTCTGGTTTGGGCTGATCAATCTCATGGCTCCTTTTATTTGAAATTCTTGGTGGACTGGTCAAGTCCTTCAGGGAGGGGCTTGAAACTCATGAGCTCCGTTTCTAGGTTCCCAAGTGGGGCCCAGGCCCGGACAGTCTTGTGCGTGAAGACTGTTAGTCTCATCGCCCTCATCTGCTTGCGCATTGGACAGGAGATGGTTCAGCAGCATCTGAGTGAGCCTGTGGCCACCTTCTTCCAAGTCTTCTCTCATCTGCATGAGCTTCAGCAGCAGGTAGGCAGAGTATCTGGGCTGGGCAGGCCAGGCCAGGGCTGTGGATTCGCTGATTTCCCAGGCTTCCTGCCTACAGGATCTGCAGCTGGATCCTAAGGGTTGTACTGAGGGCCAACTTCCAGAGGTCACTTTCGCTGATGGGCATCGACGGCCAGTGGACCCCACCGTGCTGGAAGAGCTGCAGAAGGTGTTCACCCTGGAAATGGCGTACACAATCTACGTACCCTTCTCCTGCCTGTTGGGTATGGCCCATCACATTCCTTCGCACAGTGTTGGCGACTGTATCTTTTCCCTGGGGTGGGCCCTGATGCTTTCACGTCCAGAGTCGGCAGTGTGTTCTTTTTTTTTGACACAGCATCTCATTTAGCTCAGGCTGACCCTGTCTACTGCTGGCAGTGTAGGCATGTGCCACCACTCAGAGTTCTTTGTTTTCTTTCTTTTCTTGTTTTGTTTGTTTGTTTGTTTTGTTTTGTATGTTTGTTTTTCAAGACAGGGTTTCTCTGTGTAACTTTGGAGCCTGTCCTGGAACTCGCTCTGTGGACCAGGCTGGCCTTTATTTTCTTTTAAGAAATGATTGTGTGTGTGGTGTAGGTGCGTGCGTGCCCTGGCATGTGTGTGGAAGTGAGAACAGTGTTGGGAGTTGGCTCTCTCCTTCCATCATTGGTTCTGCAGTCAGGGCAACAGGTCCCCCTGCCTGATGAGCTGAATCACAGCAAACACATTTGACCCCAGGTCCCAGTTTTCATGGTGATTACCTTAGTTAGGGTTTTTATTGAATATCATAATAGAACATCATGACCAAAAGCAACCTGGGGAGGAAAGGGTTTATTTCATCTTAACAACTCCCAGGTCACAGGCTGTCACTGAGGGAAGTCAGGGCAGGAACTCGACGCAGAAGCTGAAGGAGGAGTCATGAAAGAACACTGAATTGTTCCTTGTGGCTTGCTCAGCCTGCTTTTTGCTTTTTGGGGTTTTTGTTTTGTTTTGTTTTTGTTTTTTCTTTGAGTCAGGGTTTCTTTGTATAATAGTTCTGGCTTTCATGAAACACTCTGGACTAGGCTAGCCTTGAACTCACAGAGATCCACCTGCCTCTGCCTCCCAAGTGATGGAACTAAAGGTGTGTGCTACCACTGCCCAGCTCAGCCTGCTTTCTTATAGAACTCAGGACCACTGCCCTGGAGGTGGCACCACCCACAGTGAGTTGGGCCCTCTCACATCAATTGTTAATCAAGAAAATGCCTCCACAGACCAGTCTGGAGAGGGGTTTTTTTCAATTGAGGGTTCCTCTTCCCAAATGAAGTAGCTGGTGTCAAATTGACAACAAAACAAAACCAAAAACTAACCAGGACAGTGACATAGAAGAGAACCTGAACAAAAGGGCTCAGGAGCCAGCCGTACAAGTCAGGGACATACGGGAATATGATGGTCTCCAGAAGCTATCTGCAAAGGAATCTATAGCCTTCCATTTTTGTGGCCTCCCTTATGGGATGGGCGTTATACTCAGTTTCATTCTAAACAGGATGCCTCTTGCAGTTGGGTGTGTTATGCTCCTACAGAACCCTAAGCTCCAAGAGGCAGGGGACTTTGGTCTTAATCATCATTCTGTGTCTGTTGCCAGTATGGTGCCTGACATATGTATGTCTCTGTAGAGACAGCATTGATGTCCATGTATCTATCAATAAAGCTGCTTTTTGTGGGGAGGAAATTTAGTAGCCCAGGGTAGCCCAGTCAATACCTTGAGCCCTAGGGGTAGGTGGTAGCAGCTGCCTGTCATCTTCCCTGATCTTAGGACCTTTTCCCACTCCCATGCAGGTGACATCATCCGGAAGATCATCCCCAACCACGAGTTGGTTGGGGAGCTGGCAGGGTTGTATTTGGAAAGCATCAGCCCAAGCTCCCGAAACCCAGCCAGCATGGAGCCCACTGTGCCTAGTGCCGGCCCTGAATGGGACCCTCAGAGTGGCAGCTGTCTCCAGGATGATGGCCACTCAGGAACCTTTGGAAGTGTCCTGGTTGGAAATCGCATCCAGATCCCTGACTCTCAGCCTGAGAGTCCTGGACCACTGGGCCCCATCTCTGGGGTGGGTGGTGGGGGCCTCAGCAGCAGGAGTGAAGACAATGCCCTGAAGCGGGAGCTGCCGCGGAGTGCCCACGGGCTGAGCGGGAACTGGCTGGCATACTGGCAATATGAGATTGGTGTGAGCCAGCAGGACGCCCACTTCCACTTCCACCAGATCCGCCTGCAGAGTTTTCTGGGCCACGCGGGGGCTGTCAAATGTGTGGCTGCCATGAGCAGCGAGGACTTCTTTCTGAGTGGCAGCAAGGACCGTACTGTGCGCCTCTGGCCACTGTACAACTATGGGGATGGGACCAGTGAGACAGCCCCCCGCCTCATCTATGCCCAGCACCGCAAGAGTGTCTTCTACGTGGGCCAGCTTGAGGCCCCTCAGTATGTGGTGAGCTGTGATGGGGCGGTGCACGTCTGGGACCCCTTCACAGGTGAGCGGGCCCAGGTGAGGCCTGTTCTGTGGTTGCTTTACTGTGCCTTTGCCAGGCCACTCGGAATGAGACCCCAGTGGGAAATACATGATGATATATGTCGAGGGGGAAGATTGAACAAGGTGGGAACAATTGGGGATTAGAAACTGTAGGACCTGAGTTTGAATCCGCTCCCGGAGTTTAGCAGCAAGCTGGTCTGCTGCTGGAAGCATCTATTTTACACCTGTGACAATCAAAAACCTGGGTCTGGAGATCATGCATGTAGGGCTTGTGCAGAGTGTGCCATCATTGTAAAGAAAAATAAGAATGGAGAGGGAAGGGAATAGAGTAGCATCAGGGTAGACAGGTGGTGCCAGCTGGTTACAGCATGCTGCATGGAGAGAGTAGATCGCTTTGGGCATGGGACCCTGGCATGACTATGGAAACAGGAAGATAAGAAAGCCCCGAAATTGTTGGCATTTTCTGTGGGTCATGGGAGTATGGTATGCAGGCATGGGGTGAGTCGGGGGCTTGTAGAAGCCAGGGCTCTTTGCTAGTCACTAGGTCTGCAAATGTCCTGTGTCCTTCTCCAGGGAAGACCCTCCGTACTGTGGATCCTTCGGACAGCCGTGTGCCCCTAACTGCTGTAGCTGTCATGCCTGCTCCCCATACCAGCATCACCATGGCCAGCTCTGACTCTACCTTGCGCTTTGTGGACTGCAGGAAGCCTGGCTTGCAGGTCAGGAGGTGTGCAGTTCCCTGTGCTTTAGCTGCGGGTCTCTAGGAGCCTGTCAGGGAAGAAACTCAAAGAGGATTGACAGGAACACAGATAGCAGCTCTGTGGGTGGGGCTCTGTGATGGACTGGAGTCCAGAGACTTTCCCTTCCATGCATGGAATGGGAGAGTCAGGCCTCCTGGCTTTGTGGGCTTCAGTGGGTAGGGGATGGTGATGGCTGGCACTTGAGCACAATCTCCCTCTGCCTACAGCATGAGTTCCGACTGGGTGGAGGGCTGAACCCCGGGCTTGTTCGCTCGCTGGCAGTCAGCCCCAGTGGCCGTAGTGTTGTGGCTGGCTTCTCCTCGGGCTTCATGGTGCTGCTGGACACCCGCACGGGCCTGGTTCTACGAGGCTGGCCAGCCCATGAAGGGGACATCCTGCAGATCAAGGTGACTCCCTTAGGTCCCTCCCTTCTCTTCTGCTTAGAGCCTGGCCTGAGCAAGGACAGGTTTATGCTGGTATCCCTTATCCATACTCAGAGACATCTGATGGGCAGGGAAGGTGGCTCTTGTAGGCCAGCTCAGGAACCAGCTGCATAGGAGGCAGACTAGGGCCGGGAACCAAGGCTAGAACTGACCCTGCTGCTCCACAGGAATCTTCTAATGAGTAACCCTTGTCCATATTTGTCTTACTTGGAGGATCAGGGGTCATGCCCTGTCCGTGACCCAGTTCAGGTTAAATAAAGCTAAGCCTGGAAGCTGTTTACTGCCTGGAGACCACTGAGCAGAGTCCATGCCCCCTGCTGGGCTGTCCTGATGGGGGCAGGAACAGGCCCAGGCATGGGCATCATGTTCTTGCCTTTTGTGTTCAATTATAGGCATCAGGGAATGCTCAGCAAGTTTGGGGTGGGCAGCTTGTGGGAGGATTTCTCCTAGCAGCGGGAACTCTCCTCCCCTGCATGTATGGAGGCTACGGGGGATGCAGCCTGCGCTCAGCTCTGTCCAGAGCCCCAGTGTCAGCATGGCTCTGGGGTCATCCTGTGAAAATCCCAGTTCTCTTGTAAAGTGAGGGTGGTGCCCCTGTGCTTTCAGAAGATTCGAGTCTGGTTCTTAGCATAAGCATCTGGCAGCTCAGAACTGGCTGTAACTCCAGCGCCAGGGGATTGACACCCTCTGGCTTCTGTGGGTGGGTACCTACCTCATGTGGCATACATGAATGTGAATGAAAATACATGTTAAAAGAGGACAGTGGCAGCTGTACTGCACAGGTTGCTAGGGAGGTTAGACGCGGTAATGCAGGTGTGTGGAGCACAATGCTGCACAGAATCGTTGGTTTTTTTTTTTTTTTTTTTTTTTTTTTTTTTTTTTTCCTTTAATTTTTAAAAGGCTTACATCTATTTATTTATTTATTTATTTTGAGGCAGGATCTGTCTATATTGCTTTGGAACTCACTATGTAGAGTAGGCTGGCCTTGAACTCAAGAGAGATCCCCCTGTTTCTGTCTCCTAAGTACTGGGATTAAAGTTCCATACCACCATGCCTAACTGTTTTATATCTAGAAGTGGGCTTTTTGTTGTTGTTTGTTCTTTTGGTTTTAGTCTTTGTGTGTGTGTGTGTGAGATAGTTTTCTCTGTGTAGCTGTGACTGTCCTGGAACTTGCTTTGTAGACTAGGCTGGCCTCCAACTCAGAGATCTTTCTGCCTCTGCCTCTCGGCTCTCTGCCTTTGCCTCCTGAGTGCTGGGATCAAAGGTATCAGCCACCGCTTACCTTATAGGCATGCACTACCTTCATCCAGTGCTAGCAGAAGTCAGAGGTGAGTGTCAGAGCCCTTGGAACTGGAGTGACAGCTGGTCATTTGCAAGAGTTAGGAAGTACTCAGCTGAGCCATCTTCCCAGCCCCACATATACTTATTTGTTTGTTTGTTTGTTTGTTTGTTTTTTGAGGTAAAGTTTCTCTATATAGTTCTGGCTGTTCTGGAGTAGAGTCTGTTCTTAAATGAGTAGGTTTTTGTTACAGGTTACAGTTTTTTGTTTCTGCTGGTTTTTTTTTTGTTTTTGTTTTTTTTTTTTTTTGGTTGATTTGTTTCATTTGTGTTTTAGGACAAGGTCTGCAGTACTCAGGAAGCAGAGGCAGGTCGATCTCTATGAGCTTGAGGTCAGCTTGGTCTACAGAGTGGGTTCTTGGACAGCCAAGGCTACACAGAGAAACCCTGTCTCAAAAAAAAACAAAAACAAAAACAAACAAACAAAAAAAAAGACAAAATCTGGCTTCAAACCCCTTGGTGGCCTGGAGCTTGCTATGTAGACCAGGCTGGCTTCAAATTTGTTTTCAGAGTGTTGAATTTATGGGCTTGTGAGATGCATGGCAACCATCTTGCCCAGCCAGTGATGGTTATGTTAATAAGAATATATTTAGTTCTTCTTTTGGATACAAGGTCTCACTGTATATCTCCAAGACCCCCCTGTGTAGACAAGGCTGACCTTGAATTCACAGAGGACTGCCTCGTGAGTGCTGGAATTAAAGGCACTCTAGAATGGTCATGGAGTTTGGTGGGTAGATGGGATCCCCAGGCCTCTGCTGAAGCTGTCTGCCTTCTCCACTCTGCAGGCCATAGAGGGCAGCATGCTAGTCAGCTCATCTTCCGACCATTCCCTGACTGTGTGGAAGGAGCTGGAGCAGAAGCCCACACACCACTACAAGTCATCGTCGGATCCCATCCACACCTTCGACCTGTACGGCAGCGAGGTGGTCACTGGCACTGTAGCCAACAAGATTGGCATCTGTTCCCTGCTTGAACCACCCTCTCAGGCCACCACAAAGCTCAGTTCCGAGAACTTCCGTGGCACACTCACTAGCCTGGCCTTGCTGCCCACAAAACGCCACCTCCTGCTGGGCTCGGACAATGGCATCATCCGCCTCCTGGCATAGGTCCAGGCAGGAGTTGGCTTGAAGGCAGGGGTGAGATGACATTCCTCAGATCCAGCTCCTCATTCTTGATCTCTCAGCAGCTCTCTTTAGGCAAGCCCCAGGTTCTGGATGCCCACATGGCCCGCCATCTGGGGTCATAGAGTTACTGAATCTCCAAGGCCATGAAGTGGCTTCATTCGTGAAACTCAGGAGATGCTGTTCTAACCAACAAGAAGCGGGACAGGGAAGAGCACTAAGATTCCCATTGCTCCCCAGCTCTGCCTTCTGGATTCTCACGGGGACAATGAAGCTCCAGGAAATGAAGGGAGATGGGTCTTGCTCAGCCAGTTTCTTCTAGCCAAGCTCTCCCTAGCTCTTTCTCCCAAGGGTAGGAAACTGCTCCTATCCCGGGTACTGGTGGTACATGAACTCCATCCTAAGGAGTTTAAGGGCTTTGTCTGGGGCTTCAGTATCCACTCGGCCAGGTCTTCCCGGTGTGGGACCAGAAAAAGGGGGAAAAGGGGAAGCGGGGCCAGAGAAGAGGTAGTAAGGCCCCAGCTGGTCTAGGAATGAATCCATGCCTTGCCTTGGTACCCCTAACCACAGTGTTTGTGCCTTGAGCCAGGGAGGCAGCCCTTGGGGCCAGCACCCCTGGGGAGAAGGGGCAACAGGAATCATCTCTGCCACTCAGGCCCCTCCCAGGAGATGGGAAGATCTGGTATCTCTTGAGTCCCCATTTGGAGCAGAGAAGCAGTTTGAGATGTGGCCCCTGCTCTCCTCACTGTTTGCAATCCATGTAAATATGATAAATAAATTCTTTGGAAGAGCCATGAAGCTGAGTGAGGCTGTGTTGTCTTTTGATTTACCTAAGTTGGGCTCAAGCAATCTGCCTCAGCCTTCCAAGGAGGGTTACTGGCAGGTGTCACCATGTCTGGCTTATGGCTTGTCTTTGATTTTTGAGTGCTCTCATGTAGTTTAGGCTGGTCTTGATCTCCTGCCTGAAACAAACTCCTGGGATTATAGGTGTAACACCAGGCCCAGCTTTTATCTTTTAAAGACTATATATATATATATATATATACACACATGTATGTTTATGTGTATGAGTGTTTTACCCACATATATGCAGGTGTGTCATTTGTGTGTCTGGACCCTGTGGAGATCAGAAGAGGGCATCAGATTCCCTGGAATTGAAGATAGTGGATGATTGTGAACCACCATGTGGGTGCTGAGCATTGAACCTGGATCTTTTGCAAGAGCATCCAGTGCTCTTAACCACTGAGCCATCTCTAGTCCCTATGCCCAGTTTTTGTTTGTTTGTTTGTTTGTTTTTTGATACAAGGTCTTTGTAGCTCAAACTATTAGCCTTGAACTTGATATGTAGCTGAGGTTGACATTGAATTTCCAATCCTTGCCTCTCTTCTGCAAGTGCTGATGTTATACATAGGCTTGTATCATCATGCCCACCACTTTACCTTGATGACAGTATGGTTAGGAAAGCCAAGACCTGGTAGTTCCCAGGGCTGTGAAGAGCAGAGCGAGAGGGTAGAGAGGGAGCCATTGTCCTCTGGTTGCTTTGGATGCAGGGTTTCTGGTCTGGGTGGCCTCAGGCAAGTTTTCAGATGGCTCATCCTTGGGGGAAAGTCAATGTTGCTGCTGAAGAGGTGGTACCCTGGGAGGGCCTGCCTCCAGCTGAGTCTTATTTCTCCACCCCTTACCTTGGCCCAGGATAAAGGGAGCCAACCAGAATCCTGGGCTTGTTGTAGGTTCCTGCAGCCTCCCCTTGCCCAGAACAGTTGTGGTGACAGTGGTGGGAATATAGGAATTTGGGAAAAGGAATCTGATTGTGACTCTGTCCCAGTTCTATGCCCTTAGGCAGATTACATAGCCTCTGAGCCTAACTGATCAAGGATAATCCTCATGCTGAGGGGTCATTAGAAGGCTTGCCAGGCCCCTGAGTATCCTGGATCTACACTCTTGCCTGGCCAGACCCAGCCTCCTCAACTGTCTGCTCCTGTAATCAGGTACAGGCAGGGTTCTGGGTGGCTGTTTTAGGATAGCAGCCCTGATGGGAAAGGGGCTTCTGGCCCCCATATCAATGTTTAACCGGATGTGCAGGTCAATATTTACCAGCAGAGAAGGCAAGCTGAACGGGGGTTGGCTAAGAGCAAAGGTCCTGTGGGAGGAGAGAGCCAGGCCAGGCTGGCTGCACCCGGCAGAGCGTGGGGAGCAAGTAGGTCCAGGAGAACATCGTGTGCTGCAACGAGAAACCTGAAGAGGTAGGATGGAGGGGTGGTGCAGCCTGCTCAGGCTGCAGAGGAGGCAGGGAGGGGCCCCTGGGCAAGGGGTCTGGCTGAATTGATTCAGGGAGCCTGCAACTTCACAGTGTCTTGGGGTGTGGAGGAGCAGAAGTGCAGGCAGAAGTCTCTCTAGGACTTCAAAACCTGGAGGCCTGTTCTTTTCAGGAAGAATCATATATCCAGGTTGGAGATGAGGCCCCGGCTGAAGGCTCTTGGACATAATGGTGGGGGCTGGGGAGTAACAGCCCTCCAGAAGAGCTGGCTAGGAGATAAGGCCTGGGTAGGGGTTGAGGATAGGAAACCTTTATTGGAGACCTTAGACTAAGACTTGCACAGCCCCCTCCACCAGCCTGGCTTCCCCAAAGCACCCTGGAGCAGAACTGGGGACAGAGTTAGGTTTGTGGTTCCTGTAAGTCCAAAGGTATCTGGGCTGGTCATTCATTGGGCTCCGCTACTAGGTCAACAAAGCAGCTTTCTGGCTGCCCTGCCACCCACCTCGGGGCCTTTGGGTAGGACCAGGGCAGCCTGAGAAAGGCTGGATGAAGTGAACAACAGGTTAGATGGATTCTCTGGGCTGGGAAGCCTTCTCAGATACAGATCACTGAGGGCCAGCCGTCATACTCAGGGTTTACAGAGATTCTTATTTTGATCCTCAATCTCTACATGGGAGGAAAAAGGACTTTTGCCATGATTTTACAAGACAGGGTAAAGCCCAAAAGTATTAAGGGACGTACCAAAGATCCTGTGTGAAGAAGCAGAGGCCAGCTTTGAACCCAGGTCTGATTCACAATGTGAGGCCTAGAGAATGAAGACTAAATGAGAAACTACAAGAGTGGAAAAAAATCATGGGAACCCCACCTCTCAGGATGAGGACCACAGCTAATATGTCTGGGTGTGGGTTCATGTTCCATATCTTGATGGGGGCAGGGAGCCCATGGGTAGCAGTCTTCTGCCTGGTGTTTGAGTGGGAAGTGGGAACTAACCCTCCCTGTTCTGGATACAGGAACATGGCACTGCTCTGGGGGCTCCTGGTACTCTGCTTGTCCTGTCTGCAAAGCCCCTGCTCCATGGTGAGGCTGGGCTGAGGTCTGGGTTGAAGAAGATGCTGCAGAGAGGGGCAAGTTTGGGAGAGGCCAGAGGGTAGAGAGGGAAGAATGCTGAGTCCGGGGAGGGGTTGGCTCTGAGGGACCTTCCTGCTTCTGCTCACCCTTCTCTCAACAGTTCTCCCCTGTGAGCGCCATGGATCTCCCGAGCCAGCAGGTACTTGGGGGGCGTGGGCGGAAGAGCCCAAGGGTCTCACCTATGTCTTGGGCAAAGCAGGGACCTATGGAGAGGGCCATTTCTCCACCCATTTCCTCCTTTCTAAAGCCAATGAGTGAGCAGGCCCAGCAGAAGCTGCTCCCACTCGCCCTCCTCAAGTTGGGCAAACAGGTACAATCAGGAGGGGCTGGGGAAGAGTAAGCGGGGGGGGGGGGGGCAGAGGGAGGATGGCCAATCAGCAGGAGCAAGGGAACGGGGGAGGGGAGGCATGGTCCTGGGACTGGTGTTCAGGGGTTCAGAAGGGATGGGGTAGGAACCATCCCTTCTGTCCCCTTGGAGCTGGGACAAGGCCTTGCTGCCGTCTGGTACCAGGACTGTGAGGGAGACACAGAGAATCTGGTTTCCCCTTGACCTTACTGACCTCTGATCTTTTCTTATAGGGTCTCAGTGGCCATGCTACCCTGGAGATGTCCCCAAGAGACTGCAAGAGTACCCCAACTGCAGAGGAGACTCGAAGGCTGGCTCAGGCCATGATGGCTTTTACTGCTGACCTGTTCTCCTTGGTGGCCCAGACATCCACCAGCTCCAACCTTATCCTGTCACCGCTGAGTGTGGCCCTGGCACTCTCTCACCTGGCACTAGGTACTGGAGCAGCAGCTGCCCAGAACTAGGACCCACAAGGAGTTCAGTGCTACAGAGGTTGTATGTGGGCGGTTCCTCCATCAGGAACACATGGATATTTGGTAGCATGCAGGTGCCTGAGCTGTCACCACCGTCTGTGAGTCAGAAATCCAGGGATGGCCTAAGAATGTTGTGATTGACAAATGCCCCTAGTTATTTTAGCACAGGAGTTTGACAGCTACAATATCTTGCCCTGGACATGAGTATTTCATTGTGGGGGACTGCGATTCAGAGCGAGAAGGTGTCTTGTGGGAGGTGACTGCCAGCTGGTTAGCAACAGAAATGAAACTAGGATTTGGGAGTCTGATACCTCAGTGAATGTGGGGGGAGAGGAGGGCAGTGGTCTGTGACTATGTTCATCATGGGGATGGCAGTGTGGGAGTGGGGAACGGGGCAGGAAAGAACCAGTGGCCTGGGCCTCGGCCCACTTGGTCCCCTTCAGGTGCTCGGAACCAGACACTACAGAGCTTGCAACAAGTGTTACACGTGAACACAGGGCCCTGCCTTCCCCATCTACTGAGCCATTTCTGCCAGAACCTAGGCCCTGGGACAATCCGGCTGGCTGCCAGAATATACCTACAGAAGGGTAGGTCAGCTGCCTAGGAACTACTCTGCCACCAATGAACAAGGGGGAGTGGGAGGGGATTAGCCTCAGGTAGCCAGGTAGAACACTGGTGGCCGTTGGAGGCCCCAGCCCAGGAATGAGCATGTGGCTTCTTGTGTGCAGAATTTCCCATCAAAGAGGATTTCCTGGAGCAATCAGAACGGCTCTTTGGTGCAAAGCCTGTGAAACTGACTGGAAAGCAGGAGGAAGACCTGACGAACATCAACCAATGGGTGAAGGAGGCCACGGAGGGGAAGATTGAGGATTTCCTCTCTGAGCTGCCAGATAACACCGTGTTGCTTCTCCTCAATGCCATCCATTTTCATGGTGCACTATTCTTCTTAAGCCCCTCATCCAAACAATCCCACCTGCCCTGTAGGCTGAGCAGGGCTGTGCAAACTTTGCTCTGGGGTTGCTAGGCTGTGAAGCAGGGGGTTGTCTGAGTGTGTGAGGAGGAAAATCAGAAGCTGGCTGAAGCTATGGACAACAGATTTCCTTGGGGCTACAGAGGGATGGAGAAATGCAAGCCTGGATATAGGAAGATACCTAAGTTCAACTGGGTGTCGTTATTGGGGGCTTGGCTTCCACCTTTCTTTGAGACAGGGTTTCTCTGTGTAGCCTTGGCTGTCCTGGAACTGGCTTTGTAGACCAGGCTGACCTTGAACTCACAGAGATCTGCCTGCCTCTGCCTCCCGAGTGCTTTGGCTCCATTTCTTGTTCCTTGAATGGGTTCTGGGTGTGACAGGCAAGAGGCTGGTCTTAAGTTACATGGCTCCTGACCTCTGCCTGGCTGCAGGTTTCTGGAGGACCAAGTTTGACCCGAGCCTCTCCGAGAAAGACTCCTTCCACCTGAACGAGCTCTTCACGGTGCCAGTGGATATGATGCGAGCACAGTCCTACCCTCTGCCATGGTTCCTGCTGGAGCAACCAGAGATGCAGGTGCCCCTGGCTTCCCCAGCAATTAGGCCTGGTGCTGGGAGGGGCTGCAAGGCTGTGCAGGGAACTAACTCAGGGGTGGAGGGGGTCCTCCATTTTCCTTGAAGTCTGATCCCTGAGGATGTACATCTGGGAGGGTCCATTATGCCTCCACCTAAGATATGGCCTCTTAGAGGTTCATTTGCTCACAGAAAATACCCTGGGCTTTTGTCACATGCCAGATATTGTTCTCTGCGCTGCAGCTGCAGATTTAGTGGATTCAGGAAGGCTCCAGGCCAGTTCCGGCTAGGGCAGCTCAGAAGGGAGGAGTCACTTGGGTTCACTGCTCTGAATATTCTGATTGGATGGAGTTCTGTGCCAAGTGGTCCCAGCTGAGGCTTCCATTGCTTCTAGCCTAACTGTGACTCCTTGGCTGGGATGTTGACCCTTGGGCCCTTCATCTGTGGCTGAGATAACAATAATGGCTAGTTTTGTTTGTTTTAGGGTCTGGTAGTATTATTACACAGGCTGCCTTTGAACTCATGATCCTTCTGCCCCAGCTGTCTGAGTGCTGGGATCCCAGGTGTGTGCTATCACACCTACTCACCCACTCTGTTGGTTGGTTTTACTAGGCAAGCAGGGCACAGCATAGTCAGTTCTGCAGGAAGGAGCTGTGTGGGTATCTTAGCTTTTCTCTAGCTCGTGTTGAAAAATCAATGGCCTGGCCAGCTCCCCTTAGCATCTCATCTTCCTGTTGCTCTGTCCTTGTGCTACCCATTGTTCCTTCATCTTCTGGCTCCATCTCCCCATCCTCCTCCAGCCTTCTGTCAGCAGGCCCCAGCAGCCAGGCCTGGCACTCACCTCCCATTGGCAGGGGACCTGCCTGCAGGCCTGTGCTGGAACTCAGTGAGGCACAGAACTCAAGGAAGCACGGCTTCAAGAGTCTTGAGCCTGGTGGTTTCCATGCTGCTGTAACTGCAGTAATTCTTCAAAAAGGGTCCTGTGACCTGAGTGTGGGGGCTTACACCATAATCCCAGCATTCAAATGACCGAGAGTTTGAAGATGGTCAGGGCTACATAACCAGATCTCATCTAAGGAGAAAAAAAAAATTGCATTCCAAATCTTGGCATATACAACAAATGCCACTGGGTGAAGGGGAAATTTGAGAGGCAGAGTTCCTACCCTTTCTGGTGGCTCCTCTCCAGGTTATTTTGAAAGCCAGAGGCCCCACCTATCATATACAGGGAGAACTGAGAGGCAAAGACGTGAAGGTCCATAGCTTGTTTGTACAGCTAGCTGAGAGCAGGTGGAGAACTCAGTCTGTGGTGACGACACTTGTAGAAGATTGAAAAGTGTGGCTGGTCATGCAGCACAGTTGAATACTTGCCTGGCTTGCACAAAGCCCTTTGTTCAACCCCTAGCACCACATAAACAAGGCACAGTGATGCACATCTGTCATCCTTAGTACTTTTGAGACAGAGGAAGGAGGACAAAAAGGTCAAGGTGGAGAGATGGCTCAGCAGTTAAGATTACTGGCTGCTCTTGCAGAGGACCAGGGTTTGATTCCCAGTTCTCACAAGGCAGCTCACAGACATCTGTAACTCCAGTTCCAGAGGATATGATGCCTTCTTTTGAACCCTGAGGACACTGCAAGTACATAATGCATAGACATACATTTAGACAAAATACCTTACACATAAAAATAAACCTTAAAAAATAAATTCAAGGTCATTTTGAGTTACATAGCAAGTTTGAGGACAGCCTGAGATACAAGAAATCCTGTTTAAAAAACAAACCAAAATGAAAATTGGGTTTGATGGTATGTATAGCTTTGTAATCCCGGTACTCAGGAGGCAGTCAAGGCAAGAGGATCAGAAGTTCACAGTCTTTCTTGGCTAAATAGTAATTTCAAAACCAGCTTTTGATCCATGAGATCCTGTGGTCAAAAAATGGGGGTGGGGGAGGATGTGGTGGCTCACATCTCTAATCCCAGCACTCAGAGGCAGAGGCAGAGACAGAGGGTTTGAAGCCAGCCTGATCTACATTGTGAATTCCAGGATAGCCAAGGCTACACAGAGAAACCTTGCCTAGAAACAACAACACAAAGACGGTTAAAAACAAAAAAGGTAGAGAACAATTTAAGAAGACAATTCCTGTCAGACTACCTCTGGCTTCCATACACATATGTGCAAACACACAACTATGCAAACATGTGTACATATGTATGTACCCACAGAGATTTAAAAGCATTATCTCATTTGGTCACATGTCACCTTGCAAAGAAGTGCTCCATTTCACAAGTGTAGTGAAGGTGCATTGAACCTGAACCTCTGGCTCCTGTCTTAGAAGTACAGAAACAATTTTGGCCCAGACTCCAACAGGCCCAGGTGTTGTCTGGTCCTCATGTTCTCTCCTTTCTTATCTGTAGGTGGCTCACTTCCCTTTTAAGAACAACATGAGCTTTGTGGTCATGATGCCCACTCATTTTGACTGGAACGTGTCTCAGGTACTAGCTAACCTGAGTTTGGACACGCTGTACCATCCCTCACTTCGGGAGAAGCCCACCAATGTGTGGCTGCCTAAACTCCATTTGAAACAGCAGTTGGACCTGGTGGCCACCCTCAGCCAGCTGGGTAAGGGGACTGGGGATCCAGGCAGGGGGCCCAGGTGGCCTGGCAGGGCATGTGAGGAGAGTCCTCCAGCTGGCAGCGTGTTTGAGTCAGAGGTAGTCCTGCATCCTGGATGGATAGGAGCAATTGACACCCTCCCCTAGACCTGTCCTGGGATGGATTGGGATGAACTACTGTGGTACCTGAGCATTACAGAGAATCCTGGGCAAAGAGTTCAGGGTGATACGTGAACCTTGTTGGAAAGGGGAAGAGGAGAAGCTGGGGTCGCCATGTTAAAGAGCTGCAGCTACTCTGCACCAGAGTACTGTGGACATGCTGTGTACACAGTGCTCAGTCTAATGGAGTAGGCACAGGGAGACTCATGTGCTTCCAGTCTAGTATGAGTGGTGAGTCAGAGTGTGTCTCACCCTAGGGAAATCAAACTAGTACCAGTGCAGATTCTGATTAAAAACGAGGGGGGAGGGTGGTTCTAGAAGTGGTGTCTAGGTGGAGACTTGAAGCTTTAACATGCCAGTCAGTCCGTTCAAGTGTTCTCTTTAGCCAGGATGTCAGACAGGCCCAAGTAGCCTGGGGGTGGCACTGACCCATCATCTGTTGCTCTGGGCAGGCCTGCAGGAATTGTTCCAGGGCCCAGACCTGCGTGGGATCTCTGACCAGGGTCTGGTGGTGTCTAGCGTGCAGCATCAGTCTACCATGGAACTCAGTGAGGCTGGTGTGGAGGCAGCTGCAGCCACCAGCACAGCCATGAATCGAATGTCCATCTCCTCCTTCGTGGTGAACCGACCCTTCATCTTCTTCATCATGGAGGATACCTTAGGCATGCCCCTCTTTGTGGGCAGTGTGAGGAACCCCAATCCCAGTGCACAGCCCCAGCTCCAAGAACAGCAAGATTCCCCTGACAAGAGAGTCTTTCAGAATGAAAAAGCTGACTTCCATGGAGACAAGACCTTTAGTCCTGATTTGAAACTTGCACCCCCTTTGGAGGAGGATTACCCCCAGTTTAGCACCCCCAAGTGAGGAGGGGCCCTGGGCCCTCCTCCCGAGTTCACCTAGATCAGCTTCTCAACTCCTGTGACTCTTTCCAACCAGTCTTGTGGGGTAGGGTGGGACCTGGGGAGGCAGTCTCCAGGGAAAGGAGCCATTTTCTTGCAGTAGCCCCTGGGGATAGGAAGTGGGGTGGGGCCTGGAGAAAGGCAGGCAAAAGGAATCTTCATTTCTTCTAAAAGAGCTCAGGGGGTGACCTTTTGTGGGCTGGGCACTCATGGATATAGTTTTGGCTAGAGGTGGGTTAGGCCAGTCCCTAGCTTAGTTGGGGTACCTTCACCTTTAGACGTGTCCCCAAACATCCTGAACTCAGACCTTAGCCTTGCTTCATGTTGAACTCCATGGGTGGAGGTTGACCTACCCAGATTCTGATATACCTTGCTGAAGACATACAGGATCCACCATGTCCCACCACCCAAGTCACCCCCTCTGATCTTTGGAGAAGCCAACACTGCCAGGAGTCCCCTTCCTCTCCCTTGACCTCTTCTGGGGGCAAGCTCATGGGCTGAGGCAGGGGCGGGCCCCTTTAGCTCCCAAGACTCTTTTGTAAAGTTTTTGTAGTGACTTTTATGCCACCCAAATAAAGAATGAATGGGCCGGGCTGGTTTGACGTCACAGTTCTGGGCAAGTGGATGTGGCTGCGAGGCAGCCAGAGGGCAGATTGCACTGAGCCCTCTCTGTGCCACGTTTGGTTTCTGGCCACATGCCAGTCCTCTCTAGATCTACCTCCACGCCAGCCTGGCTCAACCCTCAGCCCTTCCCTCTATGTGTGCCTCAGGCAGCCGGTAACAAGGACAGCTCAGAACTGGCAATTAGGGAGCTAACGGTTCTCTAATTACACACCAGCCGCTTTGCCAGGAGCAGGCGCCCGCCAGCCGGGGACAGGCTGACAGCTGGAGTCTGGCAGCGTCTGAAGATTTTGGGGATGTAGTTGGGGATACCTTGGCACCGGACTGGCTACTTCCTGAGGGACAGCAGGAGCTAGAGGCAGAACTGGTGTCCATGTGGGTGGTGAGGGCTGCCCTCTAGGGCAGGCACTTCTCCCTGCAAGGATCTTCTGTGTGAGGGCAAGTTGTCCATGTGGCAGTAGCCCTCGGGAGCCCTTATATGGCCGGGTGGGGTTGGAATGAGGGTGGGATAAGAGATCCTTGGTGTGGGATCCTGATGCTGCTAAACTGCCATTGTGCGTGCGTGCGTGCGTGCGTGCGTGCGTGCGTGTGTGTGTGTGTGTGTGTGTGTGTGTGTGTGTGTGTGTATGTGTGTTGTGGGGGTGGGAGGGCAGGAGGGCGGATAATACACGAGGGGAATGTATGACATGTCAGGGTGAGGGTCAGAGAGCAATGTCACAGGATGAGGTCCCTTAATTGAGACTTGAGCAGTGGAGCAAGGAGCGGGCCAGGGCTAGGAGAGGCCTATCCAGCGGGTGACATCAGTCAGAGCAGGAACTGACTGAAGTAGGTGATGGAGAGCACCTCAGAAATTTCGGGAAGAGGACTGGAGAGCTTCTGGGAAGAGGAAAAGCAAGAACAGAAGACGTGGACTGAGAGCATGCGCAAGATGAGCTGAGCTTGGTGCTGGGGAGGAGCGGGACGAGTCAGTTGGGGAAAGAACACGATGGGCTATAGGACCATGCAAAGACTTTAAAGAAAAGATTTGCTATTTACTTTCTTTTTTTTAAAGTTTTATTACATGTACTTTTATTTTGTGTGTATAAGTATTTTATGTGAAGGTATCTTTGTGTGTCACATCAATGGCTATGGAGCCCAGATGAGGGCATTAGATCATTCGGAGCTGGGGTTACAGGGTTCTGAGATACAATGTAGGTGCTGGTAACCGAAAGAGCAGCCAGTGCTCTTAACTACTGAGTCATCTTCCCCCGACTTCTTTCTTCTTCTTCCTTTATTATTTTTATTGTTGTTGTTTGACACAAGGTTTCTTTGTGTAGCCCTGATTGACCTGGAACTAACTCTGTAGACCAGGCTGGCCTTGAACTCACATAGATCTGCCTGCTTCTGCCTCTCGAGTGTTGGGATAAAGGGTGTGTGCCACCACGGCGTGGCTCCCCGACTTCAAAAAAATGATTTTAACTTTATTTTTAATTATTTGTAGGAGTTTGTAAATATGTGCAGTTGCTCTCAGGGGACAGAGCAGGGCGTTGAACGCTGTGGAGATGAATTTACAGGAAGTTGTGAAGCACGTGATATGTGTGCTGAGAAAAAAAACTCCGGTCCTCTGTAAAAGCGGTACATTAACCACTGAGCCACCACTCCAGCCCCTATGTATGTGTGTGCGTTAATTTTAACATTTAATTATTTTGTTCATTTGACTTTTTTGACTTTTGGTGTTTTTCGTTTGCTTTGTTTGTTTTGTTTTTGAGACTAGGTCTCACTGTAGCCTTAGTTGGCCTGGAACTTACATAGACCAGGCTCTCCTCACACTCACAGAGACCTACTGACCTCGGTTTCCCAAGTGCTGGGATGAAAGGCCGGAGCCACCACACCTGGCAATTTACTTACTTATCTGTTACTCATGATCTGTGTGTACCTGCTTGTGCCATAGGGCACAAGCAGAGTTGAGAAAACAACTTGCAGGTTTTGGCTCTTTCCTTCTGCCCTATGGGTTTCAAGTATCAAACTCAGGCCCTCAGGCTTGGCAGCAAGCTCCTTCACCTGCTTAGCCATGTTGCTGGCTCTTTGCTCCAGCTTTTAATTTTGTATAAGTGAATCATAAAGTCTTCTCCTCTGTCCCATGCCCTGCCCCGACCCAGCAGTGCTGGGGATTGAACCCAAGGTCTTGCCTATGAGGCAAACACCCCACCACCGAGCTACATTTCTACCTCAGTTTGTATTCTCTGTCCGGTCTCTTGCACTCAGCCTCATGTGTTGGAGACTTGCCTGTGTTGTGCCCAATGATGCCCCTTCACCTAGAAGCCTTGGGCTTGGGAGATGCTAGATCTAAATTTGGCTCTGGAAGATTCCTGTGGCTTTTGGATGGAGGAGGTGGGAATAAGAAGCTGGTTGGCTGGCCCACCCAGGGTGCAGATCAAAGCCATAGAATTCTTCTTGGCTAGACCGTGGGAGGGAGAAGGATGTACTCAGGGCGATGGGATTCAGCCTTGCCATTCCTAGGTCTTTGTAAAGGAATGGGTAGGGGCAGTGCCTTTGGCTGATCTGGGAAGCAGAATGACTATGGAGTAGATGGGAATTTGCAATTTAAACAAGTTTTAATGGAAATGTTATGCTAATACAGGCCAATCACATGACCCATTTTGCCTGGGAAAATTAGGGTTAGTCCTGTCATTTGAACTAATTAGTAGCATTCAGTCTTGCTGTTGGGAGTGTCTTATAAGTTCATTCCTGGGCTACCATGTGGGTCTGGTAGGCATGGAATTGCTAATGATGGTTTTGAATGCATCCCATTTTAAATGTCAAGGGATTGACTGAATGCTTTCGTAAGGGGTGGGAGTGTATACTTGGCAGCATAGAGATGCTTTAAGTGATGGAACTAGGGGCTGGGTGGGGCTCCTGCTTAGCTCGTGCAAGAACCTGGGTTTCATTCCCAGTGGTGTGGGGCAGATACTGAACAGGAAGAAATTCCTTAAGGGAGAGGATGGAACAGAAAGGAAAAGGGTCCCAGGATCAAGCAAGCAGAGACAGACGGGAGGAAATGGAAACGGTAGAGAAAATGGGCTTGGAGAAGGAGGAACACTGCTCTGCTGCCTGCGGCTGAACATGGAGGTTTCCATGTCAATCAACACCAGTCACTCAGGTGACAATGGCAGTTTCAGAGAAGATGGGCACACAGGGGAGGAGGGAGCGGGAGTAGAAGCTATGTACACGTAAGAGCAACAGCTCTTTCCATCATGGCTGTGAGGGAAATGGGCAGTGACTTTAGGGGATGCAGCATAAAAAGGAGACTTTCAGGTAATCAAAGTTTTTCTTTTCCTCAGTATTCAGATTGAACCCAGGGGAAGTACATGCTGGGGAAGTTTGCTCTGCACTCGGCTACAGTCCCAGACCTAGCAGATGTCTTTACATTTTTTTTTTTTGCATTTTTTGTATGTTTATTGTGTGTGCACAAACATGCATGCACGCATGTGAGTACATATGCCTTAGCACACATGTAGAGGTCAGAGGACATCTTGTGAGAGTAGGCTCTTTCTGGCTTGGCAGCAAGTACTAACAGCTAGCTGTGCCCTGAGAGTGCAAGCCTGTTTTGAAGCCTTGAGTAACTTCTTGTAGCAGACACTGGAAGACGAGTCTGAGGGTCTGTTGGCTGAACTTTGGATTTTGTCTCATTTCCTGGAACCCCACAAAACCAAGAATGAGGTCTCTCCACTCTTCCAGTAGAGGGCAAACTCTTGCTGGAGCCTTTGGCAGCCAGTTGCATCCAGAACGCTTTCCCATCATGCCTCTGTGATGGCTGGCTTGGTGGGAGCCAAGATGCAGAGAAAGCCTCTTTACCAATCCCCTTCTCCTTCAGGTGCAGCCTGGGGAGGCACTGGCAGTAGAGTAGCAGCAACTGAACTGAAGTCACAATAGAAGCTTCCTCTAAAAAACAAAAAACACAGAAACAATGCAGCTATACTCCCTCCCAATAATTCCAGGACAGCCAGGGCTACACAAAGAAACCCTGCTTTGAAAAATAAACAAAGAGAAGTAGAATACTGGATGTCAGCTTTGGGCTTGTCCACCTTTAAGTGTCAGGGCTGCTACATATGATCACATTGTTATTCAAAGTTGCCATATGAACACACACTTGTGATGAGTAGAATTCATTTCTATACCCACGCCAACACTGGTGTTTCATGTTTCTTTTCTTTTTTGTTTTTTTGAGACAGGGTTTCTCTGTGGTTTTGGAACCTGTCCTGGAACTAGCTCTTGTAGACCAAGGCTGGCCTCGAACACACAGAGATCCGCCTGCCTCTGCCTCCCGAGCACTGAGATTAAAGATGTGCACCATCACTGCCCATCCTCAGTATTCTACTTCTAAGAGTCCTACACCAAAAGCCTCCCAGGACTGGAGGAATAGCTCTGATAAGGTGCTTGCCTGGCATGCGTGACATCCTAGGTTCCATGCCTGACTCCACTAAGAATAAAAGGAACTTGTGCTGGGACTAAAGGCATGCTCCACCACTGCCCAGCTTACGTGTTTCAATTTTATCAACCTGAAGAGTATGCAACAGGACTTCCTATGGTTATAATTTGCATTCCTTTGATTATTAGCAATAATAACAATTTTTTTTCTTGGTAATTTGGGGAATCAAGCCAAGAGCCTTTTTTTGGGGGGTGGGGTGGGGCTTTAGACAGGATGGCTCTAATATTTTCCCCTGGGTGTACTGGAACTGGCTATATAGACTAGGTTGGCCTTAAACTCACAAAAATCCTTCTGCCTCTGCTTTCTGAGAGCTGGGCTTAGAGGCACCGAACCTGGCTGAGAGTCTTTTCAAATACTAGGGAAATGCTCTACTGCTGAGCCACATTTCCAGCCCCATGTATACATTTATTGGCCACTTAGAATTTTGCTATGAATAACCTGGTCTTACTTTCCTCTTACATTTTTTTTGTTTGTTTAAAACTTGTTGTTAGATTTATTTCATGAGTCTGTTCCCTGAGTGTGTATCTGTGTACCACATGCAATCCTGGTGACCACAGAGGTCAGAAGAGGGCATTGGATCCCCTGAAACTGGGGCTATAGAGTTGTGAGCCACCATGTGAGTGCTGGGAACTAAGTCAAATCCTCTGCAAGAGTAACAACAAATGCTCTTAACTGTGGAACCATCTCTCAATGCCTTTTTGATTTTGGTTTTCTCATTACTTTACAATGTTTTGGTATGGTTGTGTTTTTTCTTTGATTTTTTTTTTTAATGGGGTTTTTCTGTGTAATAGTTCTGGCTGTCCTGGAATTAGCTTTGTAGACCAGGCTGGCCTCAAACTCACAGAGATTTGCCTGCCTCTGCTGGAATTAAAGGCATTATGTATGGAAAGAGACATTTCTAACTTTAGTGCCACATTCATCACCAACCTTTTCCCTCTTAGCATGCACTTCTTTGGGTATTATTTATTTTATTTTGGTTTTTAGAGATGGAGTCTCACTGTGTACTCCTGGTTGGCATAGAACTCTCTATGTCGGTCATTAACCTTAAATTTCCAGCACTCCTCTGTCTGTCTCCTGAATGCTGGAGTCATATGTGCCACCACACCTAGCTCTTTATGTATTTATTACTGTTTTTTTTTTTTGTGCTTGGATGTATATGTGTATGCCACAGACAAAGTATGTGGATATCAGAAAATTACTTGTAGAAGTCATTTCTCTCCTCCTACCATGTGGATCCTGGGAATCCAACTCATATCATCAATCATGCTTAGTGGTAACTTGTTAAGAGTAGTTTCCCGCTGGCCTGGTCCCACAGCTGCACCAGCCCCAAATAACACACAGAGACGCTGTATTTGATATAATGCTATTGGCCTGTTACTAGTTTCCACGTGGTCTTATCTTACCGGAGAGAGGGCCTGGAGTTCTACCCTGTTGGTCCTACATCTTGGAACTCCTCCCTACTATTTCCTCTCCTCCTTGTCTCCTAGTCCCACCTATCTTGCTTCCCTATTGGCCAACAGTGCTTTATTCATTAACTAATATGAGAAACATATTTACAGACTGACATCTTCCATCAGTACTTTTATTTGCTGAGCCATCTCATAGGTCCTTTATTTTTTCTTTCTGAGACAGGGTCTGATGTAGCACAGGTTGGCCTCCAACTCTTTTTTTTTTTTTTTTAAGATTATTTATTTTAAGATTTAAGATTATTTATTTATTATGAGTAGTCTGTCATCATGTATGTATTTATGCCAGAAAAGGACATCAGACCCCATTATAGATGGTTGTGAGCCATCATGTGGGTGCTGGGAATTGAACTCAGGACCTCTGGAAAAGCAGCCAGTGCTCTTAACCACTGAGCCCTCTCTTCAGCACTGGCCTCCAACTCTTATATGGAGGATTGCCTTGACGTCTTGACTGTCCTTCCTGTGTGCACCATCCTGTCCTGCCTGTACTTGCTTTTTAGAGCATGGTATTGCTTAAGGAATATGCTGTGTGTGATGGGGCACACCTTGAATCACAATGCTGGGGAGGCAGAAGCAAGAAGATCACTGTGAGTTGCAGGTCCAGCAGGATAGCTTTTATTGTTTTTGACTCTCTCTCCTCTCTCTCTCTCTCTCTCTCTGTGTGTGTGTGTGTGTGTGTAGGTTAGAGGATGACTTTGTGGAGAAGGCACTCTCCTTCCACCTAGGATCCCAAGGGGGGTTGAGCTCACATCACCAGGCTTACACTGTAAGTGCCTTTACCCACAAACACAGCACTTTGCCTAGAGTCACTCTGCAGTTTTTCTTTATTGAAAGGACCTGGACTCTGACTGTTGACGCTCTCCTTCCTATAAAGCTGAACCTTGCCCACTGCAAAGTCTCATTGGCTCCAGCTCTGCTTTCTGGGTTTCCTGGAGAATGCTTGCAGAATTCCCTACATTTTCTTTCTTTTGAGCCTTCCTCTTTCCTTCTGTGAATTGCTATCAGGCTTTCTTAGTCAGCCTAAAATTGCTTATTATACAGGTTTAGAGAGCAACATTTTAAACCAGAGCAGCAGCAAAAGGAAGCATTCTGCAACCTTCAGCTCTCTGGAGCGGATCCCACGCTACACAGTCGACAGTTCAATGTGATGAACTTTGTTCCATGAACAAGAGTAACAAAAATAGTGTTCTTTTAAAAAAATCATTTATTTAGTGTGTGTGTGTGTAAGCCACTGCACACAATGAAGGTCAGAGAAACACATGTCAAAGTTGATTCTCCTCCTCCATGTGGGTGCTGTGGATAGAACTATGATTTCAGAGAGACTATTGAGCCACCTCACTGGCCACTTTTTCTTCTATTATTTTATGACAATGGGTTTCATGTAGCCCAGGCTAACCTCAGATTCACTGTGTAGCTAAGGCTGGCCTTGAACTTCTGCCACCACCTTCCAAGTGTTGGGATTATGGTCATCATATCAGTTATGCAAATATTCCCTTTAGGCTGTGTGTATTTAGTTATATGAAGCAGGCGAATTTCAAGTTTAGAGTTGGGTTTCATTCCCAAGATCTCTCATGTAGATGCAAGTATTCAGATCCCCAACCCAAAACTGTTTATTTTGGGTCCTAGGTATTTCAGATAAGGGGGATTCAGCCTGGAGTCCCTTTAGTTTTTTTTTTTTTTTTTTTTTTTTTTTTCTGAGACAGGGTTTCTCTGTGGTTTTGGGAGCCTATCCTGGAACAAGTTCTTGTTGACCAGGCTGGCTCAAACTCACAGAGATCTGCCTGCTTCTGCCTCCTGAGTGCTGGGATTAAAGGCATGCAGCATCACCACCCAGTAGTTCTTTAGTTTTGAAACTCCGTTATGAGTTCTAATACCCCAGGGCAAGCTGCATTCAAGTATTTCCCCTGTGCAGCAACCCTCTAGTGTGGGCCTCCTCTCAGGACAGGCATCCTGTACACCCCATTTCCTCCTCTGGTCGGGTGTTTCCCCCGCTGTCCCTTCTTTTCTTCTTAAAGGTTTTAATTCTTGTGTGTGTGTGTGTGCGCGCATGTGTGGTACCAGAGGAGGCCAGAAGAGGGCATTAGATTCTCTGGAGGTGGAATTACAGGCAGTTGTGAGTCCCTGGTGTAGGTGCTGGGAACAGAACTCAGGTCCTTTGAAAGAGCAGCCAGTGCTTTTAAGCACCGAGTATCTCTCTAGCTCCCACCATCCTCGGAAATCCTCAAGGAGCACAGAACTCCAGAACAGACTGACCCAGTCCATCGCTTCATTTTCCAGGAGAGGGAGAATTATCTTCCTCCTGTACTGCAGGTGGAGCCAAAGCTAACCAACCACTTGGAAGAACCCAGTGTCTTCACACTGGCTCACTTTTTCTCCATACAGCCCACCTCTCAGCCAATCCTTTCTGATGTTCAGGTTCAGATTCATGACCTACCTACCCCAGGCTGGCCCAAGTGCCCGGGAAGTTAGCCATCATGTGGAGGGTCCCATTGAGGAGAGATGAAAGCCCAAGGAAGATGTGGTGTGGGAGGAAGGTGATGTGAATTCGTGGTCTGGGAGACATATGATGGATGGACAGCAGTGGGTTAAAGTTAACACCAAACAATGATGCAATCACAGATTCCAAATTGAGTCAGGTCACTTTAAGAAAGGAGTAGCTGTAATCTGAAGCCTGCTGGACGCTGGGTCGCTGGGTTGGGAGGCAACTATTCACTCCACTGCTTGATAGAGCCCCCTCTGGGTGCAGGCTGAGAGGGACCTAAACTCAGTGAGGAGCTGCAGTGGACCACAGGTAAGGCAGCTCCTGGTCTAGACTGGGGAGGAGATGGGAGAGGCTCCTCGGCTAGAGGGGCTGGGAGGAGCAGGGGCACCCCAGAGAGCAGAAAAGAGGGGTAAAAGCAAGTGGAGGTAGTTTAGGGACAAAGGTGAAAGAGGAAATTGGGGGACAGAGGGCCAGGACACTATTATCCCCTGCATTATCCCACTGCAACAAAAGGAGAGGCTGGATGGGGTTTTGAATGGAGCTGGGAAACAATGTGGTGGTGGTGGGCAGTGGGAAGTGCGGAGCTAAGCTCTGGGTCTGGTCTGACACAGGATGAACAGTATCCAAAAGGGGCTATCATCTTACAGGCAGGGCTTTCTCCCTTCTACCAGCAGTAAGCAAGAAGGTGGTCTTCCTGTAGCCCAGCCTGGCTCCGCTCAGATTGCTGCTTTTCATAATCAACTGGTGCTGACCCCCTTCCTCCCCCCTCCCCCCTGCTGCCAAGGAGCAGTCCTGCTGGGATGGGATATGGGATGCCTGCTCGGTCCTCTCTCCAGCTCCCACCCATTCTCTGTTCCCAAGTGAATGGGAGACAAATGAGGTCATGGCCTCTTGCAAACAAGAAGCACCATGTAGCCTAGCTGGTGTATGGGGTCTGGCTGCCCTTCTGCAGTCTTTTTACCTCTCGAGGGAGCCGCAGCAGGGAGTGGTCTGGGTCAAAGAAAAGAGACAGGCTTTCCAAGTGCCAGCCACTGTCTGGACTTAGCTGCCCATCAGTTCAGCCTCCAGGCCAAGGGGGATGGGTGGGGACCTGTGAGTTCTGGCCCCAGGGAGCTCTGGCTTTTCTGGGGTGATGGGAGGTGCAACTATGGGGTGTTTCAGGTCCCAGGGTTTCAGAAAAACAAATCAACAAAAACTCCCCACAAAACTTTCCCCAAAACAACAATAAAACCCCCACAAAACTGCCCCCGAGGTGAGTGGTGCAGCCGTGAGCCAGCCGAGGGGAGGTGCCCTCCCCTGCACTGTGCACATGTCCACTGCCTGTGGCTTGAAGGCTGCTTGGTTCTGGGAGGAGACAGCAGTGGAGGAGGAGCAACATGTTTGTCTCCAGGCCGGGTTTAATCTGAAACACATGTACTGGCTCCCATTTGTCTTCCCAGCTTGGATTTGAGACCACAACATCCCAGTTTCTGTGCCTCTTGATTTGGGGGTGGAGCTTGGCTCAGAGGGCACAATCTTGACCCTTCCCCATGTCCTCCCCAACCTGTAGCCTAGGAATCTGGCTTGGACACTGCCCTTTGGACAACAGAATGGCATCATTATCCCAGTCCTCATGGCTAGCCAATAGCTGCCTACCCAACCCGGTTATGGCTCCCAGGGCATTGCATGTGTCCTGTGGGGCCCCTGCTGCAGACCCTCACTTCCTGCCCTTTAGGGTCTCCATTTCCTTGATTCCTGGGCTTCAGGTGGAGATTTTAGACATTCTAACACTTGCCCTGCTTAAGTTCTTGGGCCAGCACTGGACTTCCATGTTTCCTTCCCATGCCTACCAGGTTCCCACTTTGGCTTTGGTTCTAAGCCTAGCCACATGGAACAATGATTTGTGACTTAGACCCTGGAGGAATTCCAGGACATCCCTTCTGCAAGTGTATCTCACTTAATTCCTGCAATAAAATGCCAAGGGTGACCATCTCTCAGTCACTACCCACCCAGAGAGACCAGAGGGCCTTTCTGTGCATCTCTGATAAATCAGCCTGTTGAGGCTCAGCAGAGGGAGGTGACTGCTTGTGATGGGTGGGGCTGGGTGGGGAGGGCTATAAATCGGTATCACTTTTCTGTTGTTCCAATGTCTCCCCCCCCCCATTAAGCTGGGAGGCAGTACCCTGGGTGAGAACATCTTCCCACTGGGAGATCTGCCATGGATGAGGGATTGGAGCGAGGGAGGCTGGTTCCTGCTGGTGGTGTTGCTGCAAGCAGAGGAAACTTCCTCTTGTTGCCCCTCATGGGCTACGGTAGAACCTTATCCAATGATTGCAGACTGTACTCCCAACTTTTCAGATCCAATTTGTTCTGGGAAGTCGGAAGAGTTGGTGATTGTGTGTGGTGGGGGAGGGCAAGTGTATGCCACAGGATAATGATAATGATGGAGCTGAGGGGGCACTTCAGGGTGTGCTGTAGCATGGGCGGAGGACACGCCGGGACAGCCAGTAGTCTTTTCCGACTCTAGGATGAGCTTTTCTGTGGACATCGTGTCCCACCCCTGGACCCGACTCCAGGAGCACAGGAGTAACACCTGAGGACCCACAGCTCAGATTTCAATTTTGCTTTGTGTTTCAAGCGCCAGACCAGAGTCAGGGCAGAAAGGTTATTGCTTAGGGAGGTGGGAGGTCCCACCAAAATTTAGTTTTGTTTAACCTGAAGGAAGGAAGGCAGGCTCTGAGGTTAAGAGATGTTTCTATGGGGGGGGGGAGAGGGGGAGAAGGCATGGCCCTTCAGAAGAGATGCCAACGCCACTGCTAAGGGCTGCTAAGATACTGTCTAGAAGATGTGGTTGTGCACATCTGTGGCCTCGGCACTTGGGAGGCAGAGGCGGGAAGATCACACGTTCAAGGCCAACCTTAATATAACGAGACTGCTTCAAAAAAGAAAAGAGAGAGGTTATAAAATTGAACCTCCACAACAGTAGGTAAGTACTACTATATATACAAGGAGGGATTTGTTCTTTGGACAGCTATGAAGTTGGGGTTAGATCCCAGGCAGTGTGGGCCTAGTCTGCACCCTCTTAACTAAGTAGGGAACTGCTCTTAAGATGGGAGAATGGGGTCAAGTCAGGCATGGTGGCATACATCTGGAATTCCGGCACTCTGGAACTCAGGAGGCAGAAGGAGGAGAGTAGCTGCAAGTTTAAGGCTAGCCTGGGCTACAAAAGCATGATCCTATCAAAAAAAAAAAAAAAAGGGAGAGGGCAAACAGACAGGACTGAGTGTTCTTGCGGGCTTTTGGCCAGAAAACTTTTGGTGGGTAGCAGAGCTAGTCCAAAGTTCTGTGAGTCTCTGAAGAGCTGGGTTCTGCTCCCATTCTGAGACAGGTTTCCAAATCCTACCAAATGTGCCGGCTGTGGCTGTGAGCCTTCATGGAAAAGCCTTGATATGTTTGCGTTAGACCATTTTCTTGGGGCTAGAAGAGCCCACTGCTGAGTCTTCATTGCTCTGGCCTGCTCTGGCACTTAGGCTGGAAGGCCGGTCTCCCTATAGGAACCACCGCGGAGGGACACAGGCGTGGGGTGGGGACAGCAAGCCTCAAGCTGAGAGTCCAGTTGGGTGCTGTCTGATTCTTGCCCCTGTGAAGGGTGGGGTGGCAGGGCAGGCGGCCGGTGAGGGGAGTCACTTGCCCTCTGGTTTCTCTTGTAGTTCCAGGATGCAGGCCCTGGTGCTATTCCTCTGGATGGGAGCCTTGCTTGGGCATGGCAGTAGCCAGAATGTCGCCAGCAGCTCTGAGGTCAGTAGGGTGGGCAGATGTGGGCAGCAGCTGTTATAGTCCCTCTTTGTGGCTGGTAGCAGAGGTGCCAGCACGGGGTCCGGGGTGGGTTCTGGCCTTCATTCCTTTAGTTGGTTTCTCTAGCTGCAAGACAAGTGCCACTTGTGGATGTGGAAAAACCTCTGCTGTACACAGGAAGTAGGAACAGGGGCTTGTCACACAAAGGACAAGCCAGTTGGGTATATTAGCTATGGACCTGGGCATTTGTAGGCTCTGAGTTCCGAACAGAGCTTAATGACTTTAGACAATACCCCCTTACCTCAGTCTGTTTCCTTACAAGGCCCTGCGGTCAGTTACTTATTCCTCATCTACGAACCACCTGCCCCCAAATGCAGGCCCTCACACATGCTACACAAGTGCTGTATTAGCTAAGCCTATCCATGAACACTTACTCTATGGTTGGTAGCTATGGACAGACATGTAAAAATCCCAGCACTCAGCTGGATAGTAGTGGTGGCACGCGTCTTTAATCCCAGCACTCAGGAGGTAGAGGCAGGTGGGTTTCTAAGTTTGATGAGGCCAGCCTGGTCTACAGAGTGAGTTTCAGGACAGCCTCAGTCATGTCTTACCACCCCCCACCCCCAAATAGCATCAGGAATGGGAGATGTAGTTTAGTGCCAAAGCACTCACCCAACATATCCAAGAGCCTGGCTTGATCCCCAGTCCTGGAAACAAAACAAAAATTAGCAGAGTCCCTCACCCAGCTGCTAGCTAATAAGGAAGTGGTTGACACCAGAAAAGGAACCTAGGCAGACTCAGAACGGTCTGAAAAGATGAGCAGAGGAGTGTGGTATGGCCCCAGGACAGGTGTCTTTGGTGGTGGTGGTGGTGACAGTGGTGAGGTCTCCTGCAGAGGGACAGATTGTGTTTGTAGGCTAGAAGTCAACCCACAGTCACTCCTCAGGTGCTGGCTGTTTTTGATTTTTTTTTTTTTTTTTTTTTTTTTTTTTGAGACAGGACCCCTCAGTAGCCTGGAACACACTGACTAGTCCAGGCTGACCAGTAAGTGAGCCCCAGGGACCTGCCCATTTCTTCCACCTCAGTGCTGGGATTACAAGCATGCCCAGCTTTTTTTTTTTTTTTTTTGGCATGCCTTTTGGGGATTGAACCCAGGTCCTCATGTCCTCAGGCCAGCACTTTACCAACTGAGCTAGCTCTCCAGCCCTGCTGTTTTTATTTTAAAGTAGGCCTGGCGGGCCCTATGTTGCCTCTCCCCAGCATGGAGGTTATGTACAGTCAGAGAGCACACACTTATTCCAACCTTAGACTAATGGCCCCCAGGGACCAGAGGACAATCCCAACCTGGAGGCGTTGCCATTCACTGTGTCTTCCCACTGGTCCTTGTACTCTGACCCAGGGCTCCCCAGCCCCTGACAGCACAGGGGAGCCAGTGGAGGAGGAGGACCCCTTCTTCAAGGTCCCTGTAAACAAGCTGGCAGCAGCCCTTTCCAACTTCGGCTATGACCTGTATCGCCTGAGATCCAGTGCAAGCCCAACTGCCAACGTTCTGCTGTCTCCACTCAGCGTGGCCACAGCCCTCTCTGCTCTTTCTCTGGGTGAGCATCAGCCGAAGGCGGCTGGCTGTAGGTGGACCTGAATTTTCCCACAGAGTCTCCATGCATATGCTGCAGGGTGCAGGAAAGGGACAGTGGGGGATACAGCTCTGGCCGGGTCCTGGCCACACACACAATTCCTACCACTCTATGAAAGTGACACCCAATCCTTGCTTCCTAAGTGAGCTCCTATTGTGTGTTAGTCATTTACCCAAGTTCTAGGGGTACAACTGCCATGAGCAGGTCCAAGTTCCTCCTCAGAATAGTGTAACCATGGGAAAACTTCAGAGACTGCACCCCACTCTTGTCTCTGTAGGTCTGATGGCCTTGGCCTATTTTAGAAATTTTTCCTAGCAATGCAGTTATATTTTCCCTGAAGCTTTCCATCCACTTAGAATGTCTGCAATGCCAGCCCCCTCAGGCTCTCAGAAGACAACAGACTAGGTGTACAGTATCCCTGTCCTGGTGTCATGAAGCCTGCCATACTTTTCTCCCGGGCAGGAGCTGAACAGCGAACAGAGTCCATCATTCACCGGGCTCTTTACTACGACTTAATCAGCAATCCGGACATCCACAGCACCTACAAGGAACTCCTTGCCTCCGTTACTGCCCCAGAGAAGAGCCTCAAGAGTGCTTCCAGAATTGTGTTTGAGAGAAGTCAGTAGCCCACCAACCCCACTCCTGAGTCTGTGTAGTCCAAGCTAGTCCCTGGCTCTAGTGCTGCTTTCAAGTACAGACACGTGCCGTCATGCCTGGCACATGGTTGCTTCTCTGGCCTGGGTTGTCTGTATGCTCCATGCTGAGATTCTGTCTAAACAATGGACTGTGTGTGCTCAGGCCAGGCCTGGCACTGGTGGGCAGGAAAGGGCCTGCGAGGCCACAGAGGATTGGAAAGGGGAAGTGGGCTGTAGGAGACAGCAGGAAGGCTCAGGAGGGCTGTAACATGAAGGGGAAGGCAATGGGTGGAATCTGTTGTTCCTTGTCCAGAGTTTGGACAAGCCAGATGCCCCAGCAAGTCAGGGGAAGATGCTGGGCAGGAAGCTGGGGTCTGGCATGCTTTCAAAGTGAGGGTGCTGGTTGGGCTCTCATACACTAATCTTCTGTGTCCTCTCAAGAACTTCGAGTAAAATCCAGCTTTGTTGCACCTCTGGAGAAGTCATACGGGACCAGGCCCAGAATCCTCACTGGCAACCCTCGGATAGACCTCCAGGAGATTAACAACTGGGTGCAGGCCCAGATGAAAGGGAAACTTGCTCGGTCCACAAGGGAAATGCCCAGTCCCATCAGCATCCTCCTCCTCGGTGTGGCTTACTTCAAGGGTGAGGGCTTCCCCATCTCTCTTTGGCTAAGGGAGGGATGGCAGGTGTGTGGTGGTGAACAGGGTGCAGGTGCAAGGCCAGAGGAGGGTATAAAAAGCACGTCATCTCCCAAGTGGCTCTGAACTATGTGACAAGTGAATGGCTGGGTGTAACTGGGCACAGATCTCTGACTTTGAATCAGACCAGGTTTAATTCTGGCTGTGCCCTTCAAGAGTAGGGCCCCTCTAAGTTTCTTCTGAGCCGCCTGTCCCCTCAGCTTTCCTGTGAGGTCTACACATCCTGTACAATATATGCTGTCTTGTTCTCACAGAGACCCTGTCCTGGCCCTGGGACCTGACCTGTGCTCAGGACACTGCCTGTCCTGTCAACACTCTTCTAGGCAGTAGTAATGTGTCAGGAGACCCTCCCACAGGCCTCATAGAAGGTCTGCTTTCTTCAGAGAAGGGCTTGCAGCAAGAATGCGTTGACCAACTGCCCTCTGTGGATGTGACCACTTACTGAGTAGCAGCAAGAGTAGACGCCTAACCTAGAGGGAAGTCCTGGACTTCCTACTCCATACACAGGGGACAGGAGAGCAGGCATAACCCAACACATTAAAAGCCACCTTAAACAAAAGGCCAAAAAGGCCAAAGTGAGAGCACCCACTCGTTTCCATCTGAGGTTGCTTGGGGAAGGGAGCCAGCACCTGTGGGCCACACATCCTGTGGTCTACACCATACATGCTGGGACCCAGAAGCTCCTGTGTCCATGCTATCATTGGATTCTGTGGTCTACACACACCTGGCAACTCCTGGGTCCACACTACCGACAGTCCAGGTTCCTTTAGCCAGTGGAGGGTCCCCACACAGCATGGTCCCCTGGCCTTTCCAGTGACAGCGGCTCAGGAAGCTCCGTATGTTTCCTTCCAGGGCAGTGGGTAACTAAGTTTGACTCGAGAAAGACGACCCTCCAGGATTTCCACTTGGATGAGGACAGGACTGTGAAAGTCCCCATGATGTCAGAACCCAAGGCCATCCTACGCTATGGCTTGGACTCTGATCTCAACTGCAAGGTCTGTGGGCATGGGTGGTGGGAGGGGACAGAGGGGGACAGGGTGGTGTGCAATGGACGGCTGCTGAGATTGGTCAGTTATCTGAATTTTGCTGTTGTGACTTTGGGCAAGTTAGTAATGTTTCTGGGCCTTTCTTTTTCCTCCTCCTTCTTTGGTTTTTACAGACAGGGTTTCTCTATGTAGCTTTAGAGCCCGTCCTGGAACTCTTCTGTAGACCAGGCTGGACTGGAACTCAGAGATCCACCTGCCTCTGCCTCCTGAGTGCTGGGATTAAAGGCGTGCACCACCACTGCCTGGTATCCTTTTCTTGAAGCAGAGTGAGTAGTTATCAGAACTTATTCTCTAGGATTTATTGTAAGGATCAGGGTCTGGAGACACACACCTGCAGCCACAGGAGTCAGGAGCCTGAGGTAGGGTGATCAAGAGCCCAGTCTGAACTGTACTTTTGAGACTATCTCAAAAAACAGAAATGGGTTGCAGCAATAGCTCAGTGGTTAAGAGCACCGGTTGCCTTTTCAGAGGAGCCAGGTCTGGTTCCCAGCATCCACATGACAGTTCACACCTGTCTGTAACTCCAGTTCCAGAGGATCAACACCCTTTTCTGGACTCTGTACACCCCCAGGCATGTCTGCGATGCAGGCCACCACCCATACACATAAAAACAGACAGACAGGCAACCAAAAGAAGAATAGGCACTCACTGGGGTGCACCACAATGGTAGAGCACTTGCCTAGTTTGAGCAATGCCCTGGGTTTAATCCTTAGTACTGCCAAAACAAAACAAAGAAAAAAAAAAAAAAAAAAAAACACTTGGTACTCAAATGTTGATTTATTTATTCATTTCTTCTTTTTTTGAGATAGAGCCTCATAGAACTCAGGCAGGCCTCAAACTTAACTAGCTGAGGATGACCTTGAACTCCTGATCTTCCTGTCTCTATCTCCTAAACGTTGGCCTTGTAGGCATGAACCTCTGGTTAATGCGGTGCTGGGGATCAACCCACAGCTTCATGCATGTTAGGCAAGTGTTCTACCAACTGCACCATAGCCCCAGCACAAAGCTGTCTATCCTGATAGCTCTTCTTATAGAATTAAGACCCACATTCTGACAACTTGTCACAAACACTACACGCTGACATTCTCAGTGAGCTTGACTTTTAGTTCTAAATCAGTAGATGCTAACCTCTTCTAGACTATGGTTTCTTTGGAAATCTGACAAAGTGGATGAAACGGTGGGGTGGTATGGTGGCACACTTTAATCCTAGCACTTGGGAGGCAGAAGTAGGTGGGTCTCTGTGAATTTGAGGCCAGTCTGGTCTACATAATTCTAGGGCAACATAATAGAGAGAAGACATTGTCTAAAAAACAAAAACAAAACCCCACAAAAAATAAAACAAAAAACCCCCGAAATGGAAGACTGATACATGCAGACATTTCTATGTGTGGTTTCATGGGGCTCTGGGAAGTCCTGGCACTGTTCCATGGGCCTTAGGATCTGTTCTACTGTTCCTTTCTAGTCCAGGGCTCTGCGCAAAGCAAATGGTCAGCAAATGCTGGCAGGGAGACCCTGGGAGGACACTTAATTTTAACTTCTAGGAACCAGATCCCAGATAGTGTTGCCAACCTGACCAGTTTTTAAAAGAGGGAACCTCGACTGAGAAAGTGCGGCCAGGGCTGGTCTCTGGGCACAACTGTGGGGCGTTTTCTTGATTAAGGATTGATGTGGGCGGGCCCAGCCCACTAAGGTCCGTGCCACTTCTGAACTGTGGTTCTGGCAGGTCTGAAAAGGCAGGCTAATGAGCCATTGGGAGTAAGCCAGAAGCATCGTTTGTTCCACTGTGGTCTCTGCCTCGGCTCCTGCCCTGAGTTTCCGAGGTGATGAGTATGACCTGAGATGAAATAAACACTTTCCTTCCCAAGCTGCATTTGGTTACATTTATCACAGCAATGGAAGACCCGATGAACTACAGGCTAAATATTTTTCGTCAAACTTGTGTTGGTGTTAAGCTGAGAACAACACTGCATGCCCCGGAAGGACTTCCAGAGGCCTGCAGAAGATGACTGCTGCACAGGCTGGGGCTGGGTCTGCCCCAGGGGAGGGGAAAGCCAGTCTTCAGGTCTGGGGCTTTGACTCAGGACTAACACACACTTTTCTGTTGTTAGATTGCCCAGCTACCCTTGACAGGAAGCCTGAGCATCATCTTCTTCCTGCCCCTGACGGTGACCCAGAACTTAACCATGATAGAGGAGAGCCTCACTTCTGAGTTCATTCATGACATAGACCGAGAGCTGAAGACCATCCAGGCTGTGCTGACTGTCCCCAAGCTGAAGCTGAGCTATGAAGGGGAAGTTACCAAGTCTCTGCAGGAGATGAGTACGTTTGAAAGACCACCTTGCACATGAGGCTGAGCCTGTGAGCCTGCCTTCCACCTTGTTGGGTTGCCACTCTTATGGGGAGGGAAACACAGAACCACCTTCCCATCAGACTCAGTCCTAGGTCCCATGAGCAAACATCCTGTAACAGCCCAGATACTGTGTCTGGCCAGGTCTGTCTCCCTTGCTGGCTCTATGCTCTTGGGTAGGTCACTGAGCCTGCAGTGGCTCAGAGCACTCCTACCTTACAGGGAAGGCTTGCTTGCTTTTTTGAGAATCAGCTTACACAAACCAGGATTGTGAGTGTGTGTGTGAGTGTATATGTGAGTGTCTGTGTGAGAGAGTGTGTGTGGATGTTCATGTGTGTGTGTGAGCGTGTGTGATGTTCATATGTGAGTGTGTGTATGTGAGAGTGTGTGTGTATGTGATGTTCATGTGTGAGAGTGTGAGTGTGTGATGTTAATGTGTGTGTGTGTGTGAGCATGTGTGTTGGGGGGTGGACAAGGAGGGTTTTCATGAAACCTCTCTCAATCTTTACAGAGCTACAGTCCTTGTTTGATTCACCTGACTTCAGCAAGATCACAGGCAGACCTGTCAAACTCACCCAAGTGGAACACAGGGCTGCTTTTGAGTGGAATGAGGAGGGGGCAGAAACCAGCCCCAACCCAAGCCTCCAGCCTGTCCGCCTCACCTTCCCACTAGACTATCACCTTAACCAACCTTTCATCTTTGTCCTGAGAGACACAGACACAGGGGCCCTTCTCTTCATAGGCAAAATCCTGGACCCCAGGGGCACTTAATGCTGCTACTCAATGTGTTCTAGGAGAAAACCCTAGAGGGATGGCTGATTATAGATTCCAGGAAGACTGCCCTATAGCTTCAATGTATTCTTTGCAATAAAAGAGCTTTTCCTTAATTTTCACTATTTTCTTCCTTCCCTTTGAAGCTATGTTTAGTATGGAGAGAAATTGATCCTTATGAATTTACATACTTGTAACTGGCTCTGCTTAAGCTCTGCAGAAAGTCATCATTTCCTGTTTTGGGAGCACTGGAGAATGAGGAGGACTCACATGAGGGCTTGCTGTGGAGTTCCTCAGCTTTCTCTACTACAATGCAATCCTGGGGAAATCCACAGCTGTGACCGCCCCCTTGCTTTTAGGAGTGTGGTGAAACAGCCTTGTGACTTGTCTTATAACCTGGAAGCAAAGAGCAAAGAGGCGGCCAGAGATCCCCTTGGTTGCCACCTCCCATTAGGCCTAACCTTTTTCGTTTTTTGAGACAGGGTTTCTCTGTGTAACAGCTCTAGCTGTCTTGGACTCACTTTGTAGACCAGGCTGGCCTCGAATTTACAGACAGATATGCCTGCCTCCCAGGTGCTGTGATTAAAGGCATGGGCTACCCCACTCTGCTTAGGCCCAATCTCTTAACAGTTCTATTATCTTCAGGGTTCACCCTTTTACCACATGGGTCCTTGGGGAACTCACAATCCTCACTGTAGGACATGTTCCTAGAGAACCCAATTTGGATATTTCTGTGTTGATATAGGTATGTGTTTATGCATTGGGTCATGTATAGGCCAGAGGACAATCTTGGGTGTCATTTCTCAGGAGGTGTCCACTTTAAAAGTTAAAAACATATATATTATTGAGGGGCTGGAGAGATGGCTCAGGGATTAAGAACCTCTTGCAGAGGACCCAGGGTTTTGTTCCTAGCATCCATGCTGTCATCCCTGTATAACTCCAGTTCCAGGGAATCTGATGCCCTCTTCTGGCCTCCGTAGGTACTGCATGCAGGTAGTGCACAGACATGCATGCAGGTCAAATACCCATACACTTAATTAATATTTAAAAATCATTATTTGTATGCATGCACGATGGGTATGTGGGTGCCACACCATGCATATGGAGGCCAGGAGACAGCTTTGTGGCTCTAGTTCCTTTCTTGCACCTTTATGTGGCTTCTGAGGATTAAACTGGAGTTGCCAAGTTTGTATGGCAAGTCTCTTTCCCTGTAAGACACCTTGTTACCTCTTCCTACTGGTTAGTCTCTCACTGGCCTGAAACAGACTAGGTAGACAAGGCTAGCTGCCTGGCCAGTGAGCCCCGGGGATCCAATTATCTCCATCTTGCCAATGTTGGATCATAAGCATGTGCCTTGTCTCTCTTCACATGGTTTTTGGGGGTTGACCTGAGGTTCTTGTGCTTGCAGGACAAGCTAAATTTCACCAGTTGAGACTACTTATTTATTTTTTTGGCTTTTAGAGACAGAGTTTCTTTGTGTAGCCCTGGCTGTACTATAACTCACTATAGACCAGGATATCCTGAAACTCAAAACGATCTGTCTGTCCTGAATGCTGGCATTAAAATTGTGAGCCATCTTGTCAAGCTTAAATGCATAGTTTCATTTTATCCCTCTTTTTTATTTACTTTGAAAGGTTTATTTTAAAGTGTGTGTGTGTGTCTCCTGTGCGTGTGGGCATGTATCTGTGTAATTGAGTATGGGTGCCCATGTAGGCCAGAGGTGTTGAATCCCATGAAGCTGGAGTTACAGTGTGGGTGCTGAGAACTGGACTGAGGTCCTCTGGAAAAGCAGTATGTGCTCTTAACTGCTGAAACACCTCTTCAGCCCTTTTATTATTTTTGTTTGGTTTATTTTGTTTTCTAAAACAGGGTTTCTCTGTGCAACCTGGCTGTTCTGGAATGTGCTTTGTAGATCAGGCTGGCCTAGAACTCAGAGATCTGCCCATCTCTGCCTCTTAAGTGCCTAGACTAAAGTCATGCACCACCAGGCACGACTTAGCCCTTTTATTTTTGAGACAAGCTCTTTTGTAGCCCAGGCTGCCCCCTAATTCTTGACCATTTTGTCTTGGCCTCCTGAAGGTAGAGGTTATAAGTGTGCTGCTGCTGCCATGGCCAGCCTGTGCTAGATCTTAAGGCAAGCACAGGCATTCTTAAGCCAAGGCCACACGAGATAATGAGAGATCTATCTTTTGATTTTTATTTTATGTGTGTTTTGCCTGTATTTACCTGTGCACTATGTGCACGCAGTTCCCACAGAGGCCAGAAGAGGGCAATGGATGCCCCAGAAATGGAATTAGAGAAAGAAGGCTGTTAGCTGCCATTTGGGTACTGGAAATCAAACTCAGGACCTCAAGAGGAGTATATCTCTTAACCACTGAGCCACCTCTCCAGCCCTGAGACATACTTTATAACTTCAGTAAATAATTCTTTATTTTACAAAGCATTAAAAAAGGCTTCCATGTATATATATAAAATAAGGGCTAACATGTGACCTTCTAAACATATTCTTTGAGGAAGAGTACCTATTTTACAAAGTTTAACAGCTCTTAGGAACAAATACACAGTGTTTGTGGACTGGAATTAACAGAGCTGTCTGTAGAACTAAACTTTTTTCCTAAAAAAACTCTACTAAAAAAACTTTACAGGTTGGGCTGGAGAGATGGCTCAAAGGTCAAGACCACTGGCTGCTCTTCCAGAGGTCCTGAGTTCAATTCCCAGCAACCGTTGGTGGCTCATGACCATCTATAATGAGAGCTGGTGCCCTCTTCTGGCCTGCAAGCATGCATGCAGGCATAGCATGGTGTATATAATAAATAAATCTTAAAAAAAAAAAAAAACACAAAACCTTACATGTCACCTCTTTGTTATATGTAGTATGACAGTACTTTAATAGCAGGAGAATCAAATTCTGCCCACTTTCCATTCCACAAATGTTGGAATGCTAACTATCTTCCATCACCCAGCTTCTTGGAAAGTTGCTGTTAGGCACCTTCAGGGCTAGTTATTTCCTGATTGTAATGACATGGCAATTAACAGCCACTTCTTGGGCATAGTCAAGGCGGGCAAGTTCTCAAAAGCAGCACATATGGATTTGTTTTTCTTTCCCATTAACTCATCTGAACAAATCGGTCACCAGTAATAATGTCAGAAAATCCCATGATTATCTGACCCTGGGTCTGGACCATCACTATGTATCCTTGAGGAAAGGGGCAGCCATCCCTCCCGTCTGTCTCACTTTGAAACCATAATCAGCAATGTCTACAACCTCAGCACTTGGTGGGGGGCATTTGGACATGCAACCATGAGCCCTGCACTCTACCAGTGAGCTACACCCTCAGCCCCTTGGGGAATGTTTGGTAGACTCTTGATTCTCTTTGTATACATTACTTTTAAACCTAATACTTGGAAGGCTAAGGCAGGAGGATGATATGTTTAAGGATAGATTGGCTTACAGAGTGAGGTCTTGTCTTGAAATAAAAAACCTGAGTTGTCTGCTTTCAGGTTTGCTAACAAATAACTCAGAGAGGAGGCATATGTGTTATAAAGTCATTCCTTCAAGTTTGTGCCTGGACAGCAAGTCTCCCAAAAAGATTCAATGAAAGCCAGCAAAAACCGGGAGCAAGAGAGATGGCTTAGTGGTTTATAGCACTGGCTGCTCTTCCAGAGGACCTGAGTTCAATTCTCAGCATTCACATGGCAGCTCACAACTCCAGTTCCAGGGCTTCTGATACTTTCACACAGACATACAAGCAGGCAAAATACTGATGGAAATTACAAACAAAAAGAATTAGAAAACTTGTAGGAAACAAACACAGAGTTGACATCCCAGGAAGAAAGTGCCCAACAGTAAGCTAGCCCCATGTTTATTTCTCCACTCACAATTTATATGCCACCAGTTTTATTGAAGGATTTAAAGAAGCAGGATATTGTAAGTATAATTGTGTGTCTCTTGAGGTAAAGAGTCACACCAATTTCTTGCTGTATATTGAAGTGGTACATAGCACCTTGTTACTATCTGAAACCATAGGAATGTCCCAGGGAAACAGACTCTCACATTTAGTGAGATGAAATCAAGGTGAAGCTAGGCTAGTCTCAGCTGCCAGCAGACCAGCTGTGACCTTTAGAGCACTTGGCTTCCACAGACACTGGGCTAAGTCTTTTCTGGGGATGGGGAGTTTCTAACAGAGGGCAGTTAGTTCCTGCAAGCAGCAGGCATCAGGACAGTGCCTCTCAACTATTGTTTCCCAAGTGTTCCCTGCCATCAAGACACAGCGTAGGACAGCTGGGGAGGTCCTTTCTGATGACAACTCCAAGCTAACATAGCCTCTTTACCTCATCTGCCAGAGTTTCCTTCTTGTGGGCTGGAACGTACATACTACACCAAGGGCCTCACAGGGATGAATGACAAGTTCAATAAACAGGATTTCATCTCCCGGAGCTCCTGGACCTCATCGCTCTCAGGGCCACAGTGCACCAACAGGATCTTTTCTGCTTTCCATATGGCATTCAGAGCTTCAGGCACTGCCAACCTGAACCAAGGGAGGAAAGCTGCTCAGTTCACTCAGTCAAAATGAAAGCAGACTCCTTTCTGGACAGAGAACACAAAGGGTTAAGTTCACTCCATCCTCCAGGGTCTACCGAAGGCACAAAGGGTTCACCATACCCTTCCCCCCCAGATCTTACCATCCAAGGGGTAGATAAGAAACCTCATAAGCACACTGCAAAGCAGAGTTTGAGGAGAGAGAGAGAGTGTGTGTGTGTGTTTGTGTGTTAGACTACAGGACTCAAAGTAAAGTGGGTAAATTTATGGAAGCTTTATATAGAGGTGTTCATTTTTGGGCGCCCATGTCTTACCTGCCTGACTTTGTGTTTTCCACATCTGGGCAAAACTGGGTCTAGGACCAGGACCAGCTAGTTCATCAACTCTGCTCTTATCTTTTTCTTTCTGTGCAGTGCCAGGAATAGAACCCAGGGCCTTGTGCATGCTAGGCAAGTGTGCTACAATCGAGCCATTCCCTCAGCTTCCTTTTTTAACCTTTAAAGCAGCGATTCTTAACCTTGATGTAACTACTTGGTAACTCCACTGTGGAGGCTGTCCTGCGCACTCAGGGTTAGC